CCAACTTTCTCCAGCTGAAGTCCAACTTCTTCCCTAATTACAGTAGCTACAAAGAGCAAAACAAACGCCCCAACTTTAGAACTAAACACATAAAGAAACTGTAATAGAAAAGAACATTTAATATTCTGGTCTCACCTCCTGTAAGAGCAGCAATGTCATCAAGATACTGGCTTTTCCTCTCTCCAAATCCAGGAGCCTTCAAAGCAGCAACTTTTATAGTACCACGAAGCTTGTTAACAACAAGAGTCGCTAATGGCTCTTGCTCGATATCTTCAGCAATGATCAAAAGCGGGTATCCACCTTTAATCGCATCTTCTAGAATGTTGATAATGTCTCTAGCATTTGTTATTTTCTTATCAACAAGAAACAACTGCAAAAACAAGAAGAGACCAAAAAAAGTTTCAAAATCAGGCGGTTTTTTTGAACAGCTGATAGGATTTAACTAGTAATAAGTACCTTGCAGTTCTCGTATTCTGCACACATTTTCTCACTGTCGGTGACAAAGTAAGGAGATATATAGCCACGATCAAATTGCATTCCTTCAACAACGTAAAGGCTATTCTCAGCGCTTTTTCCTTCCTCGAGAGTGACAACGCCTTTACGCCCAACTTTTGCCATTGCTTCCGCAATCATATTGCCTACTTCGTAATTGTTTCCTGCACTAACCGCTGCAACATCTGCAAGTTCACTATCTTCGACCTGCAATTACAAAAAAAAAAAAAAGAACAATCCTTTAAAACACAATGAACAGAGAGTCATGACCAAAAGAATCTGTTAAAATATAAAAAAGTACCTCCTTTGACATTTTCTTCAACTCGGCAACAAGAGCCTTGGTGGTTTTCTCAATTCCTCTGGTAATCAAAACCGGGTTTGCACCAGCAGCCACCACCTGCATATTTCAATTCACACATCACATTTCAACCAAACAATGATCTGTTCAATTCACAAAGATTGGTTGGGGACTTCAAATTACAAACCTTTACACCTTCAGCGATGAGACCTTGCGCAAGAACAACCGATGTGGTTGTTCCATCACCGGCTAAGTCATTGGTCTTGGAGGCAGCTTGTCTCACTAGCTTAGCACCAATGTTCTCAACTGGATCCTCAAGCTCAACCTAACCAAAGAAAAGCAAAATCTTCAAATCTACAAAAGCAAAGATAAAAGAGCAAAGGCTACTACAATAAGGCAACAACATTACCTCTCTAGCGACTGTTACACCGTCGTTAACGATTCTCGGAGAACCGTATTTGCTTTCAAGAACAACATTTCTACCTTTAGGACCTAGAGTAACACCAACTAGATCCGCAAGTTTATTCACACCAGCCTACACGACGAAATGATTCAATATGGAATCAGGAACCAATACAAAAAGGTGGAATCGAACAAAACTTATCATTTGACTCACTTGAAGCTTCTTAATCGCAGTCCCGTCCTTGTTGAAATGCAATTGCTTAGCCGCATAGATTCTGGGGAACCTTGCTTTCCTCTGCGCAATACTCTGACTCTTTCCAAAAGAGTTTGATGAGATCGAAACAAGAGATGATAAACGGTTCGAAGGAGGAGCCAAGGATGAGCCCATTGAAGACGCTGCGCTAAAGGTTGAAGCCATGACGATTCACTCTTCTGCAAAAAACAATAACACAAACACATCAAAAATCATAACTTTTGCTGATTCAGTGATCTAAGAAACCCTACAGACCCGAATCAAATCAGAGGACTATTGAACTTTGTAATCATCGAAGAGCAAATCAAAAAGGGTATCTGAAAGCAAACAACTTTTCCACCTACCTACACTCGAACAAATAAAAACTCGAAAATCGAAAGATGATTGAAACTTACCACTCTTACCGAGAAGCGATCAAGAGAGAGAGAGGGTTTTAGCAAATGAGGGGTTTTCTCGTGAAGAATTCGATTTTATGTGACTGGAAAGTTGTGATTTTTAATTATTCGATACGAGTGCAGAGTACAAACGATCAAAGTGTATAGTTCTAGGATCGCGTCTCCAAGGTTTCTGGTTGAATATGAGCCGTTGGATTTGGAAGTCTTCAGAACTTAAAACCCTAAACCCATCAACTCTACTCTACACACTACACGTACGAGCGAGCTACTTGTAATATAATACTATGGACAAACACTTCTTTTATTAATCATTGTTGACACTTTTTAAATCATTATAGACACTGTTTTTGTTCTCTAAGATTCAACACATAATATTGTCGTCACATGTTCCAAACCAAATGGAATAGTTAGTAAAGAAGCAATGCAAAAACTGTCTCCTTCTCTTTCTGATTGAAATTCCTTCAGAATGTTATGTTCAAAAAAAAAAAAAACTTTCAGAATGTTAACCGGTTTATTAAAGATCGGCTGCTTTTTTTACATGTAGGCTAAAGCTCGTCATAGACACGATCAAAGCTGCCATCGATATGCAAAAGCTCCTCGTTCACAATGCGGAAGTAAGTCCAAACATAATCCACTTGTTTTCTTAATTTATTCCCCTGGTCACACGTTGGACACGAAAAACAACCCTTTTTTGTCGTCGGTTTTAATTTGCGTACAATCTTTAAATCTAGCGCACTGGTATAAAGAAAAATGTGTTATGAATGGTTAACGAATCCAAAATTTGAGGGTTTGAAAATTGTATTAGAACATAATAAACTTTAAAGTTAAGAGTTTAAGGATTGGGTTGAAGATGTTCTTAGTAAAAAAGCTGTGCAATAACAGTCTCTTATGTTAAAACAAAGAAACACAGGCCCATTATAATGGACTAAAATCCTATGTTCTCTCTCCATCTCGGTGTACGCATGATGGACACGGCAGAAGACAGTCAAGACACGACATACAAAACCAGTAAGTCAAACTTTAATATTTATGTAATATATTATATTAAAAAGAATTTTACTAATCAAAAACATAATATAAGCAAAACATAAGCAAAATATCAATCAATATAAAGAAAAACTAAAAGAAAAAAAAATTATCATGTTCAAATACTTTTAAATAACTAAATTATATGTAATATATATATTTATATTTTGACTCTGATAACTTTTTTTTTCTAAATCCACCAATGTCACTAATGAAATGAAGAACTTTTGCAGCTTCGTACGAGTTATATAGAGCGGTCGGGAAAGGATCCGTACGAGTTAGTCACCTTGCACGTTGTGTTTCCGGACTTACACTGACCGGATCATCCGGTGGAGTTGAGGAAGCGACTGTGAAAAAACAAAAGATCAAACTTAGCCAAATTGCCATTTTGTTACAAACTTTTTTAATACTAATTGCAAGGAAAATGTTTTGCAATCGCTTCATTTTTATCTTACTTATAGCACGAATAATATCATCATATGGTATTATTAAATAGATATTACGAGCCACCTGTAACTTGAGCTTTTGTGATATAATATTATATGACATCACATGATCTGAATATCTACAAAAGACGCGACCGTGAAAAAACAAAAAATCAAACTTAGCCAAATGCCATTTTGTTACAAACTTTTTTAATACTCATTGCAAAGGAAAAATTTTGGCATCGTTTCATTTATATCTTATTTATAGCACGAATAATATCATCACATGGGATTATTTAATAGATATTAAGAGCCATTCAATGTTTGTAAATCCGATGGTCAACGGATCACCGGATCAACTTCAAGTGAATAAATTAATAGTTATATATATATATATTGAAAATATAGTAAAAAAGTTAATAATATGATAATTATTTAGCACAAGTACATAAAACATAAATTAGCACTAAAAATGTAAACATAAACAAGCCTGAAGATTAATAGTCTAATAGGTATAGAGATGTCTAATATGAATAACGATAATCATAAATCTGACATGAATAACGATAATCATAAAGTTAATCCAAAGTAAAAAAAAAAATTACTGATAACGAAAGTGAACTAATAAATATATCATGCCAAAAAACATATTATCTCCATCACCATTCTATTCGGTTTCTATTGGAGATATAGTGAAATCTTCATTAAAATATAAATAATCACAAATAACATAGTTTAGTCAATATTATATATAACTAAAAAAATTAAAATTCTTAATCTCAGAAAATCACAAACAAACCTTCTATTTGATATAAGGTCTTTTATATCAAAATTTGAAAGTTTTTTTAAAAATATTTTTTAAACCACCACCATCATTTCAATCACTAGCTGGGTCGTAGATTTATCAGTATTTTTACTGGATTTTAATAAATTTTTATGTAGCGGATATTAACACTAAATTCAAACCAAATTCAACGACAGATCATCGGATATAGCAGTCCGACCACAGATCTGAGTCGGGTTTAAAAACATTGGAGCCCCCCGTAACTTGAGCTTTTGTGGTATAATCACATGATTTGAATAAAATTCTAGGAAAAAGAAACCAATTAAAACATTAAATGAGATTGAGAAGCCTTACGTGGAAATTGGACCTATCTATATTATTGGGGCTTTTGTGGTAATTACATCACATAGTTACTCTTCTGAAAACGATATAATGAGATTCGACTTACCATAAACATGTCACCTAAGACCTTAAACAAAAGACGAAAGAAATTGTTGAACTTAGGGGGAGACTTTTGTAGACCTCTAATACTCGGGTTTTTATGAGTGAAATAAATGCCACATGGTTTCTCGTTTGGCTACCATATTCTGAAATAGAAATTTGCCATATAAACATCTCAGCGATCACCCATTGACATTGTACAATGAAAAATAAACGAATTATATTAGACGGAAACTCCATCGACCACCCACTCCCAAAAATGGTCCTTTACCTGGTCTAGTCAAGTAAGTCTATTAAGCAATAAGCGACGAATTTACGGCCCATCAATTGTTGGGCCTCTGAAGCCTAAGAATTAAGAGACCGATAAAGCCTCCTGATACCAACATGCTAATGACTAATGTTCTTTATACCTGTGGCTGAAAAGAACACACAAAGTAGGACTTGATTTGTACTATCTCAATAGAAGGAGAAAGTTCATAAACCTTTGTATATATCTCTCTCTTAACCTTGTATTTAGTCAAAATACACACAACACAATGTAGTTTTCAGATTGTATATCAAGAAAAAGAAAGAAAAAAAAAAACAAAAGAAACCAAGTGATCAATTGCACTGTTAATAATCTTCATCTTCAGTAACTTTCTTCACCTCCTCAACCTTCTTCAACTCTTCAACTTTCTTCAACCCATTCTTAGGCATTTCGTCGATGATGGTAATTACAGCTTTCTGAACAGTTGGGACGAGCAAAGCCTCCTCTTCGGTGGCCTGAAGAGGCTCCAAAGAATCTACAATGTCCCGCATTAGAGGCCGAGCCTTTGGGTTCCGGTTAAGGCAATGGTAGGCTAACATTGCAGCCTTTTGAACCGATTTAACCGGATATTCACAGTTCATCCTCGGGTCTACAATGTTCAAGACTTTCTTCTTCTCTTTCAGCAATGGAAGAGCCCAATCTATGAGGTTCTGCTCACGCGTAGGCCTTGATTTGTCTAATGATTTTCTTCCTGTGAGAAGCTCTAACAGTACTACACCGAAGCTGTACACATCACTCCCAGGCGTCAAATGGCCTGTCACCAAGAACATTACCGCATATTTTATTAAAAAGATTGCAGTGATAACTCTTTCTTGGCTTAAAAAGCTAAACAAAGTGTTGTTTTTTAAGACTTTTGTGGCTAAAAGTTTCAAACTTTGAGAAGATTAGATATCACAGGACTAAGATGGTATATAAATCTAAGAAGATTGCATAATACATTGTAGAAACTTGCCTGTCATGATGTATTCGGGAGCTGCATAGCCATAAGTTCCCATTATACGAGTGGAAACGTGCGATTTATCTCCTACAGGACCATCTTTAGCGAGTCCAAAGTCAGATAGTTTGGCATTGTATTCCTGTTACAACACTAATATGAAACCTCCACAGTTGTAATCGTTCAAACAAGAGAAGAACTTGATATGTAATGCTTACAAACCATGTCTAGAAGAATGTTGGAGGTTTTGAAATCGCGATAAATGACTGGTTTCTTTGCTTCGTGAAGAAAGGCGAGTCCTTTTGCTGCTCCAAAAGCAATCTTCATTCTAATTGCCCATGAAAGAGGAAGCAACACTCCTACCAAAGGGATACACATAACTAAGAGATCCTTATCTATTCAAAACAAGAATAAGACAAATGAGTGCAAGAACTTTAAAACTCACTTGAGAACAGATTATTTTCGACGCTACCACGAGCCATGTACTCATAGATTAGCACCCGGTGATTATCCTCACAGCAATATCCGATCAGTTTCACCAAATTCGGATGCGAAAGCTGCCCCAAGAATATCACCTCTGCCTACAAAACATGGAAGAAGCTAGATAAGAATCTCAGTCCATTCAAGCCTTGATTTTTTGTCTCATAAAACTCTGCTGCAAACTAAGGACTCAACATGATCTCAAACAGTTACATTTTATAGCTTCATCAAGACAAGTGTGTTTAGTCAACTGCAAAGACTCATGGTTGAGGGTGAAACGTGGAAGACAAGCAAAAGAAAGGGAGACTAACCAGCCATTCTCTGTGACCCTGATAGCTATTGTCGCCGTCGTGAACTTTAACTGCTACAGGAAGTGGTTGAGGAACTTCTTGATCACCCAAATCCTCTTTTATAAAACCTTTGTAGACACTTCCGAATCCTCCACCACCGAGAACTCTGTCTTGTCTGAAGTTACTTGTAATGTTCTTGAGCTCATCGTATGTGAAAGCTATCAAAGGATTCGCTGCAGAGTCACGTCTTAGATCTTCTACTTCTTTTGGGTTCGATGGCAGCTTTTGAACTTCTTTAACATACGTCTCTTCTTCTGTTGGACTCTGTTCTTTAGGTGATTCTGTAAGAAAACAAAAAAAAGATCCCAAAGTTTTGATATTTTGTGGATAGAATTGAAGATTCTACTTGACAGATATGTGAAAATGTTGTGGAATTGATTGTTTTTAGAAATATTATTCTAAATGGTCTAAAGTCCAACAGCATTGAATATATATATTTTAAAAATGTGACTTTTGCAGGGACCAATCTAGAAGAAAACAAAAGCATAGACCATACAGAACAAGAAGGGAGAGAGAGAGAGAGAGAGAGAGAGAGAGAGAGAGAGAGAGAGGGAGAGAGAGAGAGAGAGAGATGAAATGGAAGAAGACCATAGAACAAAGAAAACAGCAGATTATAATCGCTTAGTCAAAATTCTACACAAATGAGTCCAAGCTTATAGAATATAGAGAAACGAATTTGGCTTATCCGAATAAAATTCCTTAACTTAAAACAAAACTAAAAAACTAATTGAACAAAAACTAACTTTACAACCAAAAAAGGGAATATAAACAGAGCATAATCAGATTGAATCAGGAAAGTAAAAAGAATAGTCCATTGAATAATTTTGTAAGTAACCGACAGATATTTCATTGTTTGCGCATGTTTTTTCGGATAAAACCCATAAGTAAACTCTCGTAATTTCAGGCGAAAAATAATCAAAAATTTCCATAACAATAACGGAAATTCCAGAGAGAAAAAACACCAAATGAAGAAAGAAGAAGAGATAAAAACGAACCTGATTTAGCGTTTGCAGAAACTTTGTGATTAAAGGGCTCAAGTCTACACAAACAGTTACCCATTAATACCAAACAACACACACGCCAAAAAAAAAAGAAGACGAAGAATAAGAAAATTACTATATTTATTAAGAAATGAATAATAAAAAAAAACCCCAACTCTACTATCTCTTGTAAGTTACAAATTCATGCCCATAAAGAAAAGCATAGCGCTCAATTTCTGTTCTTAGAATTTCTCTTCCTCTGGGTTTCTTTCTTTCTATCTCCCTTTTCTCTTTTTCGAAGAACCAAAAGGTAAAGAGATGATGGAAAGATAGACACACCAAGAAAATGTTTCTTCTTTTAGAGAGAGAGAGAGAGAGATTCTTCGAGGCAATGATGGGTAAAGAGCTATGAGGTGGAAGAGAAAGAGGTCTTTGGCTATGGCGGAGATGGGCCCTACTTCTCTTTCTCTTTTTTCCACTGACAAATCAAAACAGAAAGTCAGGAAAGAAAAAACAGATCAGTCCACTTCAATCTGATATGTTCTGGTCTGGTCTGGTCCGGTCTGGTTTTACTTCTCTTTGGTTTACTTTCTGCTATACCGAATTTTAAATTCTTCAAAGTTATTAAATGCTCAACTCATAATTAAACTTTTTCTAACCATTCGCTATTTGGATTTTGATTTTTGGATTAACATCAATATTGCACCAGGAAAAATCAAATCCAAACTAAACCAAGAATTTGGTTTCTGGTTTTACTTTATTTGATTTGCGGAATGTTTTGTTGTTTGTTTAATAGTGCGCATGTATGATGCGCATTTCCAGTCCACAATTCTTTTTTTTTTCTTGTTCTTTTTTTTTCTTTTTTTCTCGATCGCTTTCTCTTTGTCTAAGCGTGCGCCTTTGCCTTTCCCCATTCTTTCTTATTGCTCTTTTCAAATTTTTGTTATCGATAAAATTTTGTGTTCACATTTCTTTCTTTGTTTGCGTCGTTCACAATTTCACATTTCATTTTAATCGAATACTATGTTAGTACATAATTCATAAAGTGACTCAACATTTTATATCGGCTAATTTCTACAAAACAAACGGGTATGGTCATCACTAACAAGTAGAGCTGTCGATTGACCTATTGACCTAAATCATATAATACGAAATTTTCAATCTATCATACAAAAACCTCAGTTATAGTGTACATATGATCTATTCGAATTTTTGAAACTCACTTAGTATATCTTACTTATATATATAATATTTATATGGTTATATAAGTGGGTACTTTTATATAAAATAAAACAAAAATTTCAATCTATCATACAAAAACCTCAGTTATAGTGTACATATGATCTATTCGAATTTTCGAAACTCACTTAGTATATCTTACTTATAAATATAATATTTATATGGTTATATAAGTGGGTACTTTTATATAAAATAAAACGATTATTCTTGTCAAATAAAATTATCTAAAAAGGAAAAATTACTTGTAGAATTTTGAAAAGAGAGTAGTGGACGAATTTGATGTGAATAATTAATTGGCATCAACTAATATAATTAGATGAAAATATGCCATAGACATCTTACCTAACATACTATTATACACACTTAATTTCTATTCAAATATACAAACGCACATATTGTTCCACTCAAAAAGCTACACATATATTTTTTTCTTTATATATCATTGCGCACATTTACCCTTTATATTTCTTAATTATTGTTATATATATAGAAAATTATGGAGAAAATATATCTGAAAAGTAAAATTTCATGATAAATAAATTATTTTAACGTTTGTCTTATATATTATAATTACATAAAACGAAGAAAGAAATGGTGATCTCTAAACGTGTGATAACGAGCTAAGGCCCTTAATCAGGTTGTACTTTGTATGTTAATATGATTGTCTGCTTAGGTAGTTAGGTTAACAAAAAAATGATTGTAAAATAAAATAACATGAATTCATGCTTTGAACGAGTGAAGCTGAAGTAATAAGATTATTTTATATTACATGAATTTTTTTAAAAGCCTACTCATTGAAATGCAAGAAATTCCAAATGTGTGTGAATACAAAAGACTGTGTGTGTGCGTAATACTAAGTGGTAGAAAGTTGCTTCAACAAGAGATATATATAATTCAACACCCACTAGTTTGTTTATTTGGATCCCTTTATATCTCCTCCAGGTGTGGCTTGAATAATTTTTTTTTAAAATGCTTGCAACTTCTGGTTTATTTTCTTATCAACTAATAGTAATTTTTCTAAATTATTTAGGTTACAGAAATAATAAAAAGTTCTCTGATTCGTGAATGGAAAGTTGCTATAGATCATTCCACACCCACTTGTTGTTTTCTCCTTTTCTAGTTTTCTCTCTGAGTAAGAAGTTCCCTTAAGATATTGCTGATTGCTGAACAACTCTCTTTTAGTCAAAAGAAACTATTTCTTTACATCTTTAAATCACCGGACGCCAGTAAGGACTAAAATCCCATATTTGTATACTGAACCACTTATTCAACATAGAAAATTCAAAATAAAAGTTTTTTTTAGACGACCAAAGATTTACTTATTTAGTGGTTCCACTACTTGTCTCCGAGTGTTACTTATTAGTATTACAGTGGCATGATCACTATCCAGGTTAGAATCCGGTAGAATAAAATGATATAAAAAACATATTGCATGCTGATAAATTTTGTATGTAAATTTTGATTCTTATAATTATACCTTGTTGATGTTATTGGTGATAACAGAGTCCAATTGATATATAATGCCGTTAGGTGATCTTTTACCAGTTCATTTTTTTTTTCTTGTCATAAACCGCAGTAAGAAAATGGTACCTTATTCCTTACACTCCTATTTGAATCGAGAACATATGTTACGTTTAAAGTTTATTTTTCAAAAGACCACTACATATATATGTTTATCATGCCAAGATTGCAAGTCCGAACGAAAAGAATATTGTATTTAAAATTCTTCTTAAATCATATTATATTTAAATTTCTTAATTGTAGACCAACCAAACAATTTATTGTCGGGTAAGAAACAACAAGCTAGCTTGCATCTTACGATTTATGTTCTTATATATTAAGATTAGAAACATGAAGATTTCCGTGGATTTTGCACGATAACAGCAAGAAAGTATACCAGGAAATTAAACATTTCACAAGTTCTAATGGGAAACTAAAAATAAAAATAAATGGATGTCATTAATTTTCCTTACAAAATTAAAAGGATGTCATGTGTTGAACTAGTTAGCCGGTGACTATGCTAAGCTATATGAACAGAGAGGATTATAATGATTTTGATAACGTGTTAACTATATACATAATTACTAATTAACAAAAACATAAATATACTTTCTTGCTGTCATGTGTTGAACTAGTTAGCCGGTAACATTGCATCATCAATGGTCGGTCAATGTTATTACTGAAAATAATGAACAAACCTCAATAAAAAATAATAATATTATGTGAAGCTACAAACAATTGACGTCATGTTGACTTGTTGAGTGCAATAGAATGGTCGGTATCGAGGCGGCAAGCCAGAATTGATCAGATAAATCAAAATCTGTACCAAAAGTCTGAAACAATCAAAGTATTGAAGATTTTGAAATTGTAAGAAACATCCAAATTTGATGAAGTCTTTAACCTAGAAAAAGCAATTTTGTTTCTTTTACTTGTATGCAAGGTAATCAAATTTGATGAAGTCATCGAAATTGATGAAGTCTTTGTTCCTTGTGGTAGTTCTTGGTTAATTTGATTTTTATCGACCAAACCATTTTCATTTGTTGCTTCCAGTGACAAAATTCCATCTTGTTGTCGTTGCTCTCCGTTAAGTATTTGACTATTTGTACTTACCCTAGCATCCATCTACAAAGAGAAGTTTAATTGGTTGGTTAGTGGGTGGTAATACATTGTACGTAATAATTTATAGTTCGAATTTAGAAGTAATAGTTTCTTTTTTCTTTTACCCTACACACGAATCTTCTACTCAGGATAGAGTAAATTGTACTTGCAAAATTCAAACACGTGAAGACCCATTTGTGGTTTCTCATAATGTTCCTGAGTATCACATCGCAACTATACATTTTAATTACGGAACTCAATTAGGGGTTGAGTTAAACTCCGCAAAGATAACAAAATGTTTTTTTGTTCAAAAAGAACAGAAGATTTGATGAAAACGGGCCATGATTCAATGGAACAAATAAAATACTAATTCTCCCAACATAGAAAACATGGCCCTATCAAATCATCAACAGATGCCAAACCTTGTCATCACCAGCAACAACAATATCCAACATTTATAATCCATAATCAAAACAAGCTGAAATATGGGCACAAGACAAAACCCATATCATATGTACGACGTTGTTTCCCACCGCATGCAGAATTTCCAAAAACGTATTTGCCATATCCAAAAACCAAAATGTCTAACTGTAGTTATTATTCTCTTTTGGGCCAGTAGACGTTGAGCCCAAGCCCATATTTAATGTATCTCAATTCTCAGTCTCAGTTCTCCATGTTTCTATTCTATCTTTTGCAACCTTTCACTGTTTCGTCTTCCTTTTCAAGTTTTATCTTGTTGTGGCTTGAGTTCGAATCCACGCAACGGACCGAATCAATCTCCAACTCCAACTCAATCTGTTCTTTTTCTGTGTGATTCTAAACCGTTGCTTGGGTTTTGGATTTCCTTTCTCACTTTTTTTTTTTCCTTCAGAAATTCTAGGGTTTTTTTTTATTGATTTCCTCTGTTTATCTTGAATCTCCGAGTTCTTGTTTATGTTCCTGATATAATGCCAGATTGAGGAAAATCGAAATCGACCCACTTCGGCGTTTCGTAAAAGTTTGGTGTTTTCGAGAAGCTCGTCAAAAAAGATCGAGACTTGTGTCTTTTTGATTGCATTTTCGAGATGTGCATTTCGAGTAGAGAAGATGGCGGCGACGAAGATCCCGATGGTCCATCAAGAAATCGAAGGAACCAATCACCATTATCGCTTCCACAGACTCTGAAACATTTCCACAGAGATTTGCTCGCCGGTGCAGTAATGGGAGGCGTCGTCCACACGATCGTGGCTCCAATCGAGAGAGCGAAGCTTCTATTGCAAACCCAAGAGAGCAACATCGCGATCGTCGGAGACAAAGGCCACGCAGGGAAGAGAAGGTTTAAAGGAATGCTCGATTTCATCTTCCGTACGGTCAGAGAAGAAGGTGTTTTGTCCTTATGGAGAGGCAATGGAAGCAGCGTCCTTCGTTATTACCCTTCCGTTGCTCTTAATTTCTCTCTCAAGGATCTATACAGAAGCATTCTTCGAAACAGCAGCTCGCAAGAGAATCACATCTTCTCTGGTGCGTTAGCTAATTTCATTGCTGGTTCTGCAGCTGGATGTTCGGCTTTGATTGTAGTTTACCCTCTTGATATCGCTCACACGCGTCTAGCTGCTGACATTGGGAAACCTGAAGCTCGTCAGTTCAGAGGAATCCATCATTTCTTGTCGACGATTCACAAGAAAGATGGTCTTAGAGGAATCTACAGAGGCCTGCCTGCGTCTCTACATGGTGTGATCATCCACCGTGGGTTATACTTTGGAGGTTTCGATACGGTTAAGGAGATTTTCTCGGAGGATACTAAACCGGAACTGGCGTTGTGGAAGAGATGGGTTTTGGCTCAGGCTGTGACTACATCTGCTGGATTGGCTTCTTACCCGTTGGATACAGTTCGTAGGCGGATAATGATGCAATCTGGGATTGAGCATCCGATGTACCGTAGCACACTGGATTGTTGGAAGAAGATATATAGAAGTGAAGGGTTGACTTCTTTTTACCGTGGAGCACTCTCGAACATGTTTAGGAGCACGGGTTCGGCTGCAATCTTGGTTTTTTATGACGAAGTGAAGAAGTTTTTGAACTGGGGAGGGATCTAAGGTCGACAAGGTGAGAGGTAACCCTGTGAATCCACATTAGAGTCAGAGCAGGAATGATAAACTTCGATTTGATACAACAGGTTAACAAGCAGACATATGTAGAGAGAAAGATTTAGGTGATGATATTGGTTTTCCATATTATTCGGTTTTGAGGATTTGGCTGGAACACCATGCATCTTGATTCTTTTCTTCTTGTTATAGACTTTGTGTGTATGAGGTCAAAAAAGAAAAAGAAGGAATCTAGTTTGTAAATAAAAGACATGGATTGGTCTGAGCACAAGTATTGCATTTGTTCTTTTATAATTTTTTTCATCAATCTGAGTCTTCACTATGGACAAGAACAAAGATTTAAAGAGATGGTAGAGGAACTTCGATATAATCTAGCTTTTTAGATACAATAAAGTAGTAGAGCATGTTCAAGATAAAGTGCAAAAGTTTCGCCTTTTAACACATATATTGTGGAATTTATACTCAGCTTGCTGTAAGCTTTTCACTGTTCTTCCTAGTCAGAAAGTATCAAGACAACTCCCACACATGATTCATATGATGTATTTCTATGTTTGACGAAGTACTTAAACATTTTACTCTTTTGACAAAACGAATCATTGCTTTTGCTCTCTCATTTTTTTGATCTCTCTGTTTCATAGAAACATATCATAAGAGCGATGTCTATCTATAGTTAAAAACTCGATTACGTGCCATATTTGAGCAGTTTAGCTTTTTTTTTTTTTTACTGTTTTTCATTGGAATTGAATTGTTTGATGAAGTTTTAAATTATTTGTTATTTTACAATTATTTGTGATTTTAGATTAGAAAAATATATGTTTCAGGATATATACGTCAATGATGTATCGGGTACCATTCTCAAGTACTTCGCCAATCACTAAGGTGAATATGCTACAGAGGTTAGCCGTTCTTCTTATTCTTTTGATTTCTTATGATTAGTTTAAAAAGTCTGTAAAATTTAAAGAGTCAAAGAATCTGAAGTTAAAGATTTGATAATTTTACAAAATAATAAAGGGGAAACCAAGCAATAAATTGTTAGTTGATTTTGGATCTAGATATAGAGAGTGTTATTCAATCATGGTTTTTAATAGAATTTAAATCCAACCACAATCCACTATTATTCAACTAATGATTCTAAATAATGTTTTAAAATCAAGTGTTATTGGTTCTTTTCATTGTAAATCATATTTAAGAGGTTTTAAAGTTTGGTGTTATTCAATAAAGATTTCAAATCTTTCACTAAAATCCAGTGTTATTCAAAACTAAATAATTTTTAAAATCTTTGTACATTAAGTCATTTCAAATCAATTCTAATAGAGTTTTATGAGTAAATTATTAGAATCAAAATCTAAACAAATGAATCCATCAAACTGATATCAATTTTTAAATCTAGAAGATTATAAAACATAAAAAATTCATTTTAAATTCATGATTGAATAACACCCATAGTCTTATCTTTTCTCTTTCTTTTCCCTTTTTCAACTTTCTCCATATGAAGTTAGAAAAAAAAAAACACTTTCTTCCGATAAATATTGTAATTAGGATTCAAGGATTTCCTTTTGGCTATAAAATCTGGCGACAAAGCCAAGCTTAAGCTTTTCTCTTTGATTCTCAATTTTCTTCGTATACTATTGAGGTTTGATTGTAAACGTGTGCGTTCTCATCATTGCTAGAGTTTACGAGCTTTAGAGAAGCAATATGCTTTTTTAACCTTCTTTTTGTTCCCAACGAAAATCTAGAGACTTTGAACGGGTTAGGTTAGCAATGGATAGGATCAGTTTGTTGCCAGATGATTTGATCTTGAATATACTGTTTATGGTTCCATCAAAAGATGCAGTGACAACAAGCCTTTTGTCAAAACGTTGGCGTGATCTGTGGAAACATGTGCCAAAGCTTTGGTATACTGATCCATATGGTGATAGTGAATACTGGAGAGCTTCACGTTTTGTTGACAAGTTTTTGTTACTACACAAGGCCCCTGTCCTAGAAACTCTGCATCTCTCACTTAGTCGTAATTGTCGTCCTACAGATATTGAAATATGGATTCGTATTGCAGTTTCTCGTGGTTTGCAAAATCTTGAATTTTATCAGCATAGACCCTGTTACACCCCAATAAGGTTGCCTAGGAGCCTGTGTACATGTGAATCCCTTGTGACTTTACGCCTACAACACGCGATCATTGTGGATGTTCCTTTGAAAATTTGTTTCCGGTCACTAAAGCTTTTGGCGCTTATAGCTGTGGATTTCTCAAGGGATGAAATCGTTTATAGGGTTTTATCAGGTTGCCCTGTTCTTGAAGCACTGGAAATGGTTATATGCAGCTATGGCAAAGCGAAAACATTCACAATCGCGGTTCCTTCATTGCAGAGATTACTAGTCGTGGACACGACATCTTATGCACAAGTTCCAGGAGATGTTGTTGGGATTGTGATCAAAGTTCCTTCTTTAAAGACGTTAACGATTGCTAACCGGTTAAATTGGGTTTGTCCAGTAGTGAATATGCCAAAGCTCGAGAAGGCTACCATCAAGCTTCCATATGGTGATGCTAAGAAGCTTCTCGGATGTCTTACCTCAGCCAAACACCTTTCATTGTGTGTAAAAAATTCACCAGTGGTAAAATCTATGTTCTTTTTGTGATTGATATTATACATTCTCTTTGTGACTGTGAATACATGAATGAACTTATATGATTGCCACTTTCAGGATCCTTATCGGATAGGCGTCTTCGACCAGCTCGTGTCTCTAACACTCTGTGCATGCTCTTTAGATTGGTTCCGTCTAATACTCAGACAGACTCCTAAACTCCGAGTTCTCCGATTCCAACTTCAAGTAAAGTTTCTCAGTTTCCTACATAATTTTCAGAGATGTTACAGCAGTATCGGAGATGTTCAGACTCGGTGGGAGCGACCGAGTTCTGTTCCTCAATGTTTGATTTCGAGTCTCGAAACTGTCGAGTGGATTGATTACCGAGGAAGAGAAGCAGAGAGAAAAGTGGTCATGTATTTGTTAGAGAACTCTGGACAGCTGAAGACGATGGCTATTAGACCCTTAAACTCAACCATTTTGGAAGAGAGACACAAGATGCTGCAAGAGCTATCGTCTACACCGAGGATTTCTAGCAAATGTCGGCTTTCGTTCACCTGAAGTTTCGTCGGATCTCAGACATGTAGAACTCTTGTCGTTTTATTCGTATAGCATACATATCATTAGTACTTATGTTGTCTTTGGTCATAACTTTATAGGTTTTGACAAACATTTGAAGGAAAGGGCTTTGTTTTTAATCAATCAGCTTGACTTGTCTAATTCTCATTACTTCTCAAGATACTGTCTTTTCTTGCGTCCAAAGTTATTAGTGTCATTATGAATTTTGATCACTTTCTAGTTCCCCGTTACTTGTGTCTATATGTCTGGTTCGGTAAAAATATCTGATTAGCGTGAGATGCAGGATCAGGTTAAAGAGTCTGAAAGACTATGTTGGTCAGTGCCTTATAGATAGTTGCCTGAAACAGAGTAACTACTAACTAACTTTATCTTATTGTGTTCAGAGACTAGTTTTGTTTTTATTGGCGATTGCCATTAGTTGAGTCTTTGGCTCTGAGCTGTTGGAAGGGTTTGTCTTGCAGATATTTGATAATATATGTTTGATATTGTAACTTGTAAGGTTGTTAATATTGCATTATTAATATTTTAGTGACATTTTTAATAATTATAATTATAGATATAAAAATATAACTAATTAATATATCTAATATATTTAAAATGTAACTTGATATGTAAAAATAAAAGTTTTTTTTTTAATTTAGAATAATATTGAACATAGTTTTTAAATTATGCAAAAATAATAATATTTTATAATAATATTGAACATAGTTTTTAAATTATGCAAAAATAATAATATTATATGAATAAAATATTTTAGTGGGTACTTCACTAATGGAGGCTAAAAATTGTGATGGAGTTCTCAAAATATTTATTTCTTAAAATATTACTATTTTATTCATGAGATACTCTCACCAATAGAGATGCTCTAGTTATTAAAATTCCAGTAGTTTCCAGTGAAATTTAGATTTCTTGTAACACTTCTATAAATACGTTAATCTCTGTGTTGATTTATTATAACATCAGCATTTTTAGGTAATTTTGGAAATTCAAATACACCACGTAATAGACGAAACGAAATTAATCAATTTTGGATTTAGTTTTTCTAAATTCAGAGAGTCTAACTTTTTAATCTTTCCACTTTTTCTTGTCTTTTTTATCTTTCTTTGTGTGGATTGACAAAAAAAAAAAGAGAAAACCTTCCTTTGAAGTTTAGGAAAAAAAAATAGAGCACTTTCTTCCTAAATTAATTGTAACTAGGAGTTCAGGTTTCTCTTTGGCTTTAAAGTCTGTCAACGAAGCCAAAGTTAAAAATCTCTCTCTTCGTTATCATCATTGCTAGGGTTTACGAGTTCGAGAAAAGCAAGATGCTTTTTTTACCCTATTTATTCTAACGATTTTTTTTTGAGATATTGAAGGGGTTAGGTTAGCAATGGATAGGATGAGTGTGTTGTCAGATGACTTGATCTTGAAGATACTGTCTTTCGTTCCATCGAAAGATGCAGTGACCACAACCCTTTTGTCAAAACGTTGGAGTGACCTTTGGAAACATGTGCCAAAGCTTTGGTATACTGATCCACATAAAGACACTGAGCATTGGAGAGCTTCACGTTTTGTTGACAAGTTTTTGTTGCTACACAACAAGGCTCCTGTCCTAGAAACTCTGCATGTCTCAGTTAGTCGAAATTGTCCTCCTACAGATATTGAAACATGGGTTCGTATTGCAGTTTCTCGTGGTCTGCGCAATCTTCAATTTCATCAAAATAGACCCTGTGACGCGCCAATAAGGTTGCCTAGGAGCCTGTATACATGTGAATCCCTTGTGACTTTACGTCTACATCACGCGATCATTGTAGATGTTCCTTTGAAAATTTGTTTCCCGTCACTCAAGCTTTTGGTGCTTATAGCTGTGGATTTCTCTAGCGATGAAATTTTTTTAAGGCTTTTATCAGGTTGCACTGTCCTACAAAAACTAGCAATGGTTATATGCAGCTATGGCAACGTTAAGAAGTCTTTCACAATCGCAGTTCCTTCATTGGAGAGCTTACTAATCATGGACTCGAAATCTGGTTCACAAGTTCCAGGAGATGATGTTGGGATCGTGGTCAATGCTCCTTCTTTAAAGTTGTTAAATATTGCTAACCGGTTTCAATGGGTTTGTTCATTAGTGCATCTGCCAAAGCTCGTGATAGCTAACATCAAGCTTCGAGTTGGTAACCCTACGAAGCTTCTCGGATGTCTTACCTCAGCCAGACACCTTTCCTTATGCTTGAAAAAACCACAAATGGTAAAATCTTTGTGCCTTTTTCTGATGATATATATATATATATATATATATATATATTTTCTTTGTGATTGTGAATACATGTGAATAGTTACATTAACTTATGATGCTATTTTGCAGGATTCATATCCTATAGGCGTCTTTACTCAGCTTGTGTCTCTAAAACTCTGTGCATGTTCTTCAGATTGGTTGTGTCTTATACTCAGACAGACTCCTAAACTCCGAGTTCTCCGATTCCAACTTCAAGTAATATTGATTCCGTGCCTCCAAAACATTAATGAGAGATGTTTCAGCAGTACTGGAGAAGTCCAGACTCAGTGGGAGCGACCGAGTTCTGTTCCTAAATGCTTGATTTCGAGTCTAGAAACTGTCGAGTGGATTGATTACAAAGGAACAGAAGCAGAGAAAAAAGTGTTGATGTATTTGTTAGAGAACTCTAGAAAGCTGAAGAAGATGGCTATTAGACCTTTAAAATCAACCATTTTGGAAGACAGATACAAGATGCTGCAAGAGGTATCGTCTATGGAGAGGATTTCTAGCAAATGTCGGCTTTGGTTCACCTGAAGTTTCGTCGGATCTTAGAGATCAAGAACTCTAGTCGTTTTTATTCTTAGAGCCTACATATCAATATTAGTACTTGTGTTCTTTTGATTATAAGCTTTTGACAAACTTTGAAGGAAAGGGCTTTATTTTTAATCAATCAGTGTGTGACTTGTCTGATTCTCATTACTTCTCAAGATACTTTATTTTCTTGCGTCCAAAGTCATTAGTGTCATTATGAATTATGAATTATGAACTTATGATCATGAGAACACAAATGAATTTTTTTTCTTCTTTCAATATCTTAGAGGTTTACCCAAACGAAAATAAGAAAAATAGAAGAGAATACCCATGTCAGTAATAAGGGAATGTGCAACAGCAAGAGGAGTACTTGTTTCGTATTTGAAATATTAATTTTCAAATTAAAAAATAAACAAAAAAGCAAAGACGGGGGCACAGAATCACTCACTAATTAACCGGGAACAATTAGCATCAAATCATTTAAAGTTTGGTTACATGTATTAAAATATACTTAGATTTTACTCCGTGCATCCGCACGTAAATTTTTTTAACTACAATTTATAATATAATTTATGTTTTCTTTATAGATATAATTTTTTAAATAGTAATAAAAATTTATTTTTGTGTTTAGATATAATTTATTTTTTATTTTTTTTCTATTATTATCATGGCCATGATCATAAAAATATAATTTAATTTGGTCAAAATATTAATAAAACAATGACCGTTTTTAGAAAAACATATTTCTAAATATCTTCTATTAATCCAAAAAGGATTGTGGTTATAAAACCATAATTCTAACTCACTCATTCATATTACTGTATAATATAAATATTTACTAAATTTAAAATATTTTCTATCTTAATATCTTGCATGTTTTGATAATCTAATCTGCCTAAGACCACAAAAAACAAAAAAATATAACATGTTCCATCAAATTATTATATAATATTAATATTTATCAATTTTTGATATGTGAAATTTTAGTCTGATTGAATATGATTAAAAAATACAATAATGTATTCATTAACTATATGTGTTATTCTGAAAATATATTTGAATTTAAAATATTTAACTAAATTTAACCTATATTTAGGGAAATCTATAAATAATTTAAATTAATATCGATTTTTCAGAATTAAATTTTTAATTACCAAAAAATATTTAAATAATTTGAATTTTTAATTTTATATAACCTATATTTAAGGAAATTTTTAGTTATTTAAATTAATAACTTAAGTTTCAAAATTAAAATTATATCTATACTATTAAAAGAGAAGGATATTTTGTGTCCAAACATAATTTTTACTTTAGTTTCCTACTATTCTGTTTTTGGATAACTGTTATTTCTGTTACCAAACAAAAATATTGATTTTAATTTAGATTTACCAAATAATTTAATTTAGTGTAATATTAATAAAATAATATATTTTTAATTCTATTTTAATATAAATCTAAAAATTTAGTTTTTAATTTAGATTTGTTATAGATTTCCTTAAATATAGGTTATATTATCAAAAACTATAAAATACATTATTATTATACCTTTACAGAATAATAACCCAGATAATAATTTAGATTTAATTTAAATATTTAAATTTAAATAATATTTTCAATGACAGAATTAAAAATAATATATTATTGTATATTTTTAATAAATATTTAAACTTAATAAATATTTAAAATTTACAAATAATATGAACGGACATGTTAAATTTTTTAATAATTTCTATTTTTTGGATTAATATAAATGAATATATTATAATGACGTTTTTTAATTGTGGTACTTTTCAGATTAATATGAACGGATGGATTAGAATAATATTTTTCTAATTGCGGTTATATATAATATTAGAAAAAATAAATCAAGAAACAAATTATATTTAAATATAATTTTTTCTCACCTTATTAAAAAATTATATATAAACAAAAAAAACAAAAATTATATTATACAAATAAAAAATAGTTCTTTTTTCTCACCTTATTAAAAAATTATATATAAACAAAAAAAAAAAAAATTATATTATACAAATAAAAAATAGTTCTCGTGCGGACGCACGGGCTTGAATCTAGTGTAAATGAAACTGCATTTTAAATAACATTGCAATAAGTTGGGATAACTTAACAACAAATTTCAAATTTTTTTTCTAAAAAAACTTTAGAATTGTTTGGAAGTAAACATTAAAAGTAATTTTATTTTAATATAATAGATGTTAAGTTATTGGGGCACCCAGTGGTTCTAACCTAATCCGCCCCTGGTGTTAATAGTGCGTATTCAACACGGCTAGGGTTTGTTTATGGTTTCTCTGTTTGCGAAATTGCCACGGTCTTGAGAAAAGCAAAAAGAAGATTCAACCTTTTTTCTACTGTTTTCTTAGCATATCGGCAACAGGATCTACTGAGTTTGAGGAATACTGAATAAGGGTTCGTTTACGATGGATAGGATCAGTCTATTGTCAGATGATTTGCTCTGGAAGATATTGTCATTCGCTCCAACGAAAGTTTCTGTAACCACAAGCCTTTTGTCAAAACGTTGGAGTGATCTTTGGAAACATGTGGCAAGGCTTGTGTATGTTCCAAAGAAAGACACTGAGCACTGGAGAGCTTCCAGTTTTGTTCACAATTTCTTGCTACTACACAAGGCTCCTGTCCTAGAAACTCTACATCTCTGGCTTATAAATTGTCGTCCTACAGATATTGAAACGTGGATTCGAGTTGCAATTGGTCGTGGTGTGCGCCATATTAAGTTTTACCAGTCCTCAACCAGTTTAGGGCCCATACGGTTGCCTAGGAGTCTGTATACATGTGAAACCCTTGTGACTTTAACCCTAGTTTACAGGAACATTGTGGATGTTCCTTTAAAAATTTGTTTCCGGTCACTCAAGACTTTTTACCTTACACTTAGGAACTTTTCAAGCGATGAAAACGTTCATAGGCTCTTATCTGGTTGCCCTGTCCTTGAATACCTAAGGGTGATTAGACTCAGCGGCGATGACAACGTGAAGCCTTTAACAATCATGGTTCCTTCATTGCAGAGATTACATGCCTTGGATGTGAAATTTGGTGATCAGGTTCCAAAAGATGATTTGGGGTTTGTGATCCAAGCTCCTTCTTTAAAGTGGATGATGATTACTAACCAGTTTTGTTCATTGGTGAAAATGCCCAAGCTCGAGAAGGCTAGCATCAGGCTTCCACGTGGTGATTCTAAGAAGCTTCTCGGATGTCTTACCTCAGCCAAACACCTTTCCTTATGTGTAAAACAACCAATGGTACAATCCTTTTATTTTATATAATGCTGTATTATATCCTCTTTGTGAATACTACATTTTAATAAAGTTCCATTAACTTATATGATTGCCACTTTTAGGAATCATATCCTATAGGCGTCTTCTCTCAGCTCGTGTCTCTAAAACTCTGTGCATGCTCTTCAGATTGGTTCCGTCTTATACTCAGACAGACCCCTAAACTCCGAGTTCTCAGATTCCAACTTCAAGAAAAGTTGCTTCCGAACCTATTTAATATTGAGAGATTTTGCAACAGTTCCGGAGATGTCCAGTTTCAGTGGGAGCGGCCGAGTTCTGTTCCTCAGTGTTTGATTTCGAGTCTAGAAATTGTTGAGTGGATTGGTTACAAAGGAACGGAAGCAGAGAAAAACTTGGTTATGTATTTGTTGGAGAACTCTGGACAGCTAAAGACAATGGCTATTAGACCCTTAAACTCAATCAATTTAGAAGAGAAACACAAGATGCTGCAAGAAATATCGTTTACGCGGAGGAGTTCTAGCAAATGTCAAGTTTCATTCACCTGAAGTCTAGTCGGTTTTGTTTCTAGAGCATATCATTCGTAGTTATGTTGTATTGACCATAACTTTATAAGTTTTGACAAACATTGAAGGGAAGGGCTTTATTTTTAATCAGTCAATGTGATCACTAGTTTTGATTCTTTTTGTTTTTTTCAAGATTACTTTATACCCTTAAACTCTGAGCTCTCAGGTTCAGACCACCAGTGAATTTACTACCAAACTCAAAAAGATGCTAATAGTATCTGATGGTGTATCAATACTTTACGTCTACATCACGCGATCATTGAGGATGTTCCTTTGACAATTTGTTTCCGGTCACTCAAGCTTTTGGTGTTTATAGCTGTGGATTTCTCTAGCGATGAAATATTTTATAGGCTTCTATCCGGTTGCACTGACCTTCAAAAACTAGCAATGGTTATACGCAGCTATGGCAACGTGAAGACTTTCACAATCGCAGTTCCTTCATTGGAGAGCTTACTAATCATGGACTCGAAATCTGGTTCACAAGTTCCAGGAGATGATGTTGGGATCGTGGTCAATGCTCCTTCTTTAAAGTTGTTAAATATTTCTAACCGGTTTCAATGGGTTTGTTCATTAGTGCATATGCCAAAGCTCGTGATAGCTAATATCAAGCTTCGAGATGGTAATTCTAAGAAGCTTCTCGGATGTCTTACCTCAGCCAGACACCTTTCCTTCTGTTTGAAAAAACCACAAATGGTAAAATCTTTGTGCCTCTTCTGATGATATATATATTTTCTTTGTGATTGTGAATACATATTAATAGTTACATTAACTTATGATGCTATTTTGCAGGATTCATATCCTATAGGCGTCTTTACTCAGCTTGTGTCTCTAAAAATCTGTGCATGTTCTTCAGATTGGTTCCGTCTTATACTCAGACAGACTCCTAAACTCCGAGTTCTCCGATTCCAACTTCAAGTAATATTGATTCCGAGCCTCCAAAACATTAGTGAGAGATGTTTCAGCAGTACCGGAGAAGTCCAGACTCAGTGGGAGCGACCGAGTTCTGTTCCTAAATGTTTGATTTCGAGTCTCGAAACTGTCGAGTGGATTGATTACAAAGGAACAGAAGCAGAGAAAAAAGTGTTGATGTATTTGTTAGAGAACTCTAGGAAGCTGAAGAAGATGGCTATTAGACCCTTAAAATCAACCATTTTGGAAGACAGATACAAGATGCTGCAAGAGGTATCGTCTATGGAGAGGATTTCTAGCGAATGTCGGCTTTCGTTCAGCTGAAGTTTTGTCGTGATCTCAGAGATCTAGAACTCTAGTCGTTTTTATTCTTAGAGCCTACATATCAAATATTAGTACTTGTGTTCTTTTGATCATAACTAATTAATTTCACAGCTTTTGAAAAACTTTGAAGGAAAAGGCTTTATTTTTAATCAATTAGTGTGACTTGTCTAATTCTCAAGATATTTTCTTTTCTTGCGTCCAAAGTTATTAGTGTCATTATAAATTTATGATCATGAGAACACAAACACTATTTTCAGAGTTTCGATGAATATTTTTGTTCTTTCAATATCTTAGAGAATTTGCAAGAGGTTTTACCCAAACGAAAATAATGTTGAATAAGAAAAACAGAAGAGTAATACTCATGCAAGTAATAAGGGATCGTGCAACAGCAAGAGTAGTTTCCTAGTTGAAAAATTAATTTTCAAATTTAAAAATAAACAAAAAGAGGAAGGTGTACGAGTAAAAAAAGAGCTAAGATGGGGGAGCAGAATCACTAATTAGAAGGGGGCAATTACCGTCAATTTATATAAAGTTTGGTTACATGTATTAAAATATATGTTAACCTAGATCCGCCCTTGGACTGTTACTAGTGCGTTTTCATCACGGCTAGGGTTTATTTATGGTTTCTCTGTTTGCGAAATTGCCACGGTCTTGAAAAAAGCAAAAAGAAGCTTCAACCTTTTTTCTACTGTTTTCTTGGCATCGGCAACAAGATCTACTGAGTTTGAGGAATACAAAAGGGTTCGTTTACTATGGATAGGATCAGTCTATTGTCAGATGATTTGCTCTTGAAGATATTGTCATTCGCTCCAACGAAAGTTTCTGTAACCACAAGCCTATTGTCAAAACGTTGGAGAGATCTTTGGAAACATGTGCCAAAGCTTGATTATTTTCCAGACAATGACACTGAGCATTTGAGAGCTTCCAGTTTTGTTCACAATTTCTTGCTTCTACACAAGGCTCCTGTCCTAGAAACTCTACATCTCTGGCTTAGAAATTGTCGTCCTACAGATATTGAAACATGGATTCGAGTTGCAATTGGTCGTGGTGTGCGCCATATTAAGTTTAACCAGTCCTCGACCAGTTTAGGGCCCATACGGTGGCCTAGGAGTCTGTATACATGTAAAACCCTTGTGACTTTAACCCTAATTTACACGAGCAATGTGGATGTTCCTTTAGCAATGTGTTTCCGGTCACTTAAGACTTTTTACCTTACACTTATTGAGTGGATTGGTTACAAAGGAACGGAAGCAGAGAAAAACTTGGTTATGTATTTGTTGGAGAACTGTGGACAGCTAAAGACAATGGCTATTAGACCCTTAAACTCAATCAATTTAGAAGAGAGACACAAGATGCTGCAAGAAATATCGTTTACGCGGAGGAGTTCTAGCAAATGTCAAGTTTCATTCACCTGAAGTCTAGTCGTTTTTATTCTTAGAGAAAATCATTAGTAGCTATGTTGTTTTGATCATAACTTTACAAGTTTTGACAAAGATTGAAGGGAAGGGTTTTATTTTTAATCAATCAATGTGATCATTTGTTTTGATTCTCTTTATTTTTCTCAAGATTATTTTATCCTCAAACTCTGAGATCTAAGGTTCAGACCACAAGTGAGTTTGCTACCAAACTCAAAAATATGCTTTAGCCTCGTAATAGTATCTGATGGTACTCAATGCTCTACTGTTTTGGTAAAGTCTCAAAATTGCTGACTGAAATAAGTTCAGAGGAAGAAAAGAAGTCAAGAAAGATACAGATAGTGAATGTACTTAGGGTTTGCTTGGTTCCTCTTTGTGACAACTTGTAGTGATGCTAAATTTAACCTTATACTCCTATTGGTTTCCAGAATATGCAGCAATCAATAGAGTGACAAACTGAAAAGTTTAAGAATTTGGTTCCAATGGATAAAATCAACCTTTTGTTCAAACGGTTTAAATATATTACCCAAAATCAACCCTTTTCAAACAGAGGATAGCAAATTACAACTCATGTGAAAGGAGATGCAAACAAAAAATTGTAACTTGTAGTCCAAGCTTGGATTTTTTAACTATAAAAGCATAAAGAGTTTCTGAGAGCACTGTTGAAGCCGCCAGGAAATGCTACTCTGGGCTCTGAGGATTCCATATCAAAGGACTTGATGAGCCTTCCCGTAGTATCGGTTAATGAAAGGCAACTGCAAAGAAAAAATCCAAACAAAGATGATTTGTAACGAACTATACTCAATTTTTTGAGTTGCAGGTTTCTTAGATGTTTTTTTTAAAAACAGGACTATTAAGCTAATTGGAGAATGCTGTTTTTTTTTTTTTTTTTTAATTTTAATTTTCTACGTACCTTGATTATGTCTATAGAGACATGGTGAAGTCTGAGGGTAGAATTTGTAGAACTTCATGTTTTGAAAGGCTTGCTTAGTCTCTTCAGTCATTTCTGCTATTGCTTTCATTCGAGCATCCTTTGCCTGCAAGAATAAATATCGGATTTAGCAAAACATTTCCACTGAATGTAGAAGGCTAGTATAGCTCAAGTATATTTTCCCAGTTCAGGTTACACTTTTACCTCTCGAATGCCTCTCTTTGCTGCTCGAACGCGATTTTTGACAAATTCCTGAGACAAAAATAACAAGCAGCAGAACAATGGTAAATTAGAGATATATTCAACTTTCATGAATTGACAATTGTGTTTACAGCTCAAAACTTACATTGAATTCTTTCTTTTGTTCCGCAGATAATCCTTCCTCTAGAGCCACTTCATCAACAAATTCCTAAGATAGATGCACAAATAAATAAAAAAAGCCATCTCAAGAGTCAGCAATACAATAAAGGGATAAATGCAATTTGAACACACAAGGAAAGAGCAGTGCGAAGATGACAACTCTCTCTTGAACCAAATGAAGAAGCAACTTAAGTTCATTTTTATATATGGTTACAGAAAAGCCAAAAGCACACCTCAAGTCTGTGAACCTCCCAGTCAAATTCACATACAACCTGCACAATCAGAAAGCTAGATTATAAAGATAATACCCAAAAGAGTATGCTCTTATCAAACCATTACATGTAGACCTGCCACTTCCAAATACAACATTCATTGCATGCCAGAAAACTTACCGGCGGTTCGGAGGGGAACAATATATCGACCACAGTACTCTCTTCAAGTTCATCTTCCTTAAATGGATCATAGAAATCTGCAAATACAAAACATTGTATATATTAGATTTTGTTGATACATAACACGGAAGCCACGTGCTATAAATGGTTTTCACTCTACAAATTTTCTAAGTATTGGTAGTAAGGGAATAAAACTCACAAGGAATGCAATACTCGAACTTCTTAACACGATCTTCTTTCATATGTCTGAGAGCAGATCTGCAGATCATGAACAAAGCTATAAAATTGAGTACACCAAAACTGCTATAGATTCAAAAATTACTATTTGTTAACTCTATAAGTCATCTGACACATGTTTCATACCTCCTCTGCGTACAGACCAAGCTAAAGATTTGAGAGTTCATCCTATCAACTTGTCTGTCTCTGCAAAGAAGAACAGAGCAAAAGTGAACATCCAAAATAAGAAATAATAGCGCGTGACATAATCTCCATCTCTCTTTTCAATGAGTTAAGGCCATCTCAACAAATGTATAACATATGCAAGTGGAACTCATGGTACCTTTTTTCATAAGGAATGTAAGGTACCCACTTCTTTTGCATTGGAACGATTTCCGCCACTCTCTGAATCGATGTGATTGCTACCTTTTCAGAAGGTGGAAAGGGTGATTCAATCTGTACATATATATAGAATATTAGAAAGAGAAATGAGATAGTATAGGATCAGTGATAGCAAACAAACAGCTGAGAAAGATTTTAAACTAAAACTTACAACAATAATGGTTGGGACATGGACCATCTTGTCTGAGGTCCACATAGCTGCAGATATAAAAAGAGAAAATTAAACAGCAACTAGAAGCGAAAAGGAAGAGAGCAAGTGAGAAAGAAACCGCAAGTGACAAAGATTATTTATACAAGTAAAAAGATAAGGAGACAGTTAAAAGAACTAGCAAAGTTCTCAAAACAAGAAAAGAAGAAGAAAAAGCGAGAGAAACATCTGAATTACGTTCTGCAATGCCAAAAACATAGACTTTCTTCCCATAGAGCATTCCTCCTTCCTCTAATGCTTCCTGAGACATAAATACCAGAACCTCGTTAAATCCTAATTAAAATCCATTCCAGTCAACAATAGAAAAAGAAATGGAGAATGCAATCAAAAATACTTACTTCAAGATGTTTGAAATTCCAATTGAATTCATAAACCGCATCTACATTTTCAAACTGCCATAAAAAAAATATAACAACCATAAGCAAAGAATATCAATGGAGACAATAAAATCCGCTAGCTGTATGTTTGAAGCCAAATCCCTTAAAACAATATACCTCGGTTCCCACAGGAAATGCAGCCTTCCACAAATCTTGCTGAAACCAACAAAAACAAGCGCACACGTAAATTTGCCACTTACACGGCAGAACTAAGAAAAGAAAAGAAAAGAAAACAAGCCATTTATCTAAGTGCTCAAGATATTTTAAGAAAAATGAGATACACCACACTTAAGAATCCTTAGCTCGCATATGGAGCAAGAAGTTGAATTTATTTTCATAGAGATAAACCACACCATACCAATTTGGCACCGCCAAAATATGTCTTTTCTTTCTTGCGACCAAACAAATGAACATATGAACAAACAGGTCTAAAACGCATCTCATTGTTCTTTTCACAGCGTTATCATAACCAAAACATATAGCACAAGCCCCAAATTGCATTCAATCCTTGTGATGAATATTAAGATTAGTAAAGCTTACCAGATTGCGCTTTTCCTCGAAGTATTCAGGCTCTTCCTGTGGTTTGGTTGCTCTGGATTTCTTAGCTCTCAGAGCCGGTTCCTTGCCATCATTAATCTCAGTTTCCTTGTTCGTGGTCCTCTTTCGCTTACCACCACGACGAGCAGGGTTCTTCTTCTTATCCTCATTCACTTTCTCGGCCTTATCGTCATTGTGCTGCTGAGAATGAGAAGGAGTTGCATCTTTGACCTGATCATCGTCCTGCATGAGGGAATCAGGTTTCACCGGAACTTCTTCCTCTTCGTGGGTTTCTCCGCCATCCTTATCTGCCTTGGCCTCTTCCCCGTTCTGTTTCTCCTTCTCCTCGACGATTTCTTCCTGATGCAGATGACTCTCCAGAGACTCAGCCATCATGGCCTCATCGTTTTGAGTCTCCGCAACAGTACCTTTGCGACCTCCTGCTCTCGAACCACCCTTTCTCTTTGCTACTTTCCTCATTGCACAGTTATACAGAACCAAACAAAGAGCAAGAAGTTAAAGAACGATGAAAAAAGACCCTACTGCGAGACACAGAAAGAAAGATAGACACACAGTTTGGGATTTCTATAATATACTAACAGTTACATTGCGTTGGAATGACGCAATATGACAATTAGATTTATTTTCATATTTAGTTGTTTCTATGAAATGTTATTGGGTAATTTTGAACATTACAATTTGAACCACCTTATAATTTGATAAATTTCTCCAGAACTTTTGTATCGAAAGTAAAACATAAAAAACAAAGGGACAAAAGAGAAATGTGCTATAATTACTCTAATTATAATGTGAGACAAATACTGTCACCTAATAATTACATTTCAATCTCTTTTTATATTTAAAAAAGAAAAGAAAAGAAAAGATGTCAATCTATAACGAAAGAGAAGCCCTAGCGGAGGAGCGTTCTTGGCCGAAATAACAAAAGAAAAAGGTTACGTTTGTCTCTTGCAATTTCTTTTCTGATTTCAAAGTTTAAATCTTTTCGAGGTTCGCCTGTCTGATTCTTTGTGATTTTGTTTGATTTCCGAGTGTATCCAGAAGCAAACACCGTCACCGTCTTCGAAATTTCAATAGTATATATATTGATTCAAAGGTTGATTCAATATGAGAAATATCAGTGAGTTTTCTGACGATTTGCTGGTGAAGATTTTGTTATTAACTCCAATGCAAGATGTTATGGCCACTTCTCTTCTATCCAAACGATGGCGTTACGTATGGAAACTAGTGCCAAAGCTCGAGTATGACGATTCATACAATGCCACAGCTTCACAGTTTATTGACATGTTTTTGCAGCTGAACAATGCTCCGTTCCTAGAAACTTTCCATCTCAGACTCAAGCGAAACTATCCGTCTCAAGATTATGAAAAATGGGTTAATGTTGCAGTTGCTCGCAATGTGCGTCATGTAGAGCTTCTTCGAAATACCTCCTACTTAAGTCTCTTACCGTTGCCTATGAGCTTGTACACACATGAAACCCTTGTGGTTTTACGCCTCAAGCAAGCGCTCATTGAAGATGTTCCTTCATCAGCTTTTTTCCGGTGCCTCAAGACTTTGTCTCTTATAGATGTGATCTTCTCAAGCGATAAAACTGTTGATAGGTTCTTGTCTTGTTGCCCTATTCTTGAAACATTGGATGTAGATCTATGGATACGAGAAGAGGTGAAGACATTTGCAATTTGTGTGCCGTCGTTGCAGCGGTTAAAGATCAAGAACATAGTAGGAGGTTATAAAAATGCAAGGGAGGGTCATGGATTTGTGATCAATGCTCCTTCTTTAATTTATTTAAAGATTATTGATCATTTGAGTGGATTTTTCTCATTAGTTAAGATGCCCGAGAAGGTAGAAGCAAATATCCACCTTAGGCACTGTGATTCTGAGGAGCTTCTAGGATCTCTTACCTCAGCTAAAAAGATTTCCTTATGTCTAAAACCAAAAATGGTAAAAAGTCTCTATTTGCTCCTGTGATTAAGATTCTTTTGTGATTACATCTAGTTTCTGCCACTTTTGCAGGATTCATATCATCCTGAATGCGACTTCGATCAGCTCGTGTCTCTAGAGCTATGTGTTATGTGCTCCTTGGATTGGTTGAATCTTTTGCTCAGACATTCTCCTAAGCTTCGATTTCTCAGATTCAAAATATTTGTAAGTTTTGAGTCCATTAACCCCAAATGATGTTGCATCTTCAATATAGTCTGGTGATGTTTGTTATCTGTTTGATCTCAGAGAGACTCCAGGTGCAGGAATTCTAAAAGTGTCCGTAGTAAGTGGGAGCAGCCGAGTTGTATTCCTGAATGTTTGATGTTGAGTCTCGAAACTGTTGAGTGGGTTGGGTACAAAGGAACACAAGAAGAGAAATGTGTGCTGATGTATTTGTTAGAGAATGGAAGCTTCCTAAAGAAGATGAGTGTTAAATTCTCACTATCTACCGAGGTTAAAGAGAAAATACCAATGCAGATGGAGATAGAGTCCATGCCAAGGAGTTCCAGCAAATGTCGCCTTTCATTCACCTAAGTTTCATCTCATCTCTGAGCTATGATTCGAACAGTAGTAGTCATTATAAAATCAATGTCATAATGTTTGGTTTCATTTCAACTTGTTTCTTCTCCTATCAAGTATCCAATCTTCTTTCTTCTGTTCTGTCTCAAAGCTTGTAGCTTTACTACAATATACTGGCTATTAACTGAGAGCTAAGATTTGAGCAGTATTAACCGTTAGTTTTTGATATTTTGTTGAACTCGTTTATTCTCCTCTTAAACTGTCAATCTTCTCTTCTGTTATGTATGTTTTGGATAGTTTTTGTCATTATTCTTGTCGTCGACAACTCACACAAGCATATATACTATATAAATATATAATCTAGATTATGACATATCGCATAAATTAGTACAAATTGCTAGACTACAAGTCACCGTAAATCTTCTGGTTTAGTAAGATTTTAGTGTTAAAAGTTGAAGGTTTAGTAAGATGTATTGTTAAAAGTTGTCTATGGTCAATGTAAAGATAAGAAGTGATGTTTCTTGTACAATTATGCTATAGATTTGATTTTAAACGAAATTAACATAATGCATGATAAAAAAAAGAAATCATAAAGCAAAAAGAGACTGTGAATATAAATATTCACCAATTAAGATAATCAATATAGTGATTTTTCACAAATGAAAGAGAAGTCCAAGCCTATGATTAGGGTTTGGAAAAAACAAAGGACCATTCTTAGCACTGAGAGTCTGAGACACAAGTAAACAAAAAGCTAGGCTGTTTCTTACAGTTTATTTCACTCCCATTTTGGAGAATTTCTAATTAAATAAAAAATATTGGATAAATTCTAATTTATTATTTGTTCTCCTATTTTTCAACGCTAAAATTAGGGTTTTGGCCTAACAGAGAAGAGTTTACAGCAGTGACGAGAGATGAGAAAATTTGAAAAAAGGTTAGTCCTTGACTCCTTGAGATCAGTATTGTAAAAACACGAAATATGATTTGATTATGGTTCTTCAGTTCCTTTTATTATTCTGATTCCAACATGTTTTTTAAAATTTTCGCCTTGTTTTTCCTCTAATTCGAATTCATGTGTGATCGTGTAGCTAAATTTCCTCTGGTTTCTAAGTGTATCCAGAAGAAACAGTCGACGGCGTCTTCTAGAACCTGTAATAGAACATCGAAGTCTTCCAAAACCAGCAGGAGAACAAGAGGTTTGGTTCAATCAGAGAAGTATCAACGATTTGCCTGATGATTTGCTTGTGAAGATATTGTCAATCATTCCAACAAAAGAAGCTGTGGCCACAAGTCTTTTGTCAAAACGATGGAGATATCTTTGGAAAGTTGTTTCAAATTTCATGTTTTGTGATGAATCTGTTAGAAGAGCTGCAAGGGTAATCAACAAGTTTTTGCTGCGAAACAAATCTCCGGTTCTAGAAACTTTTCATCTTAAGCTTACCAGAAGCTATGCACCTGAATATTATGAAAAATGGGTTGAAGTTGCAATCGCTCGCCAAGTGCGTTATCTTGAGCTTCTTCATTGTCATGGCGGTTTTTTTTCCCGAACCCTTCCAAAGATACTCTATACATGTCAAACCCTTGTGTCTTTACGTCTCCAACAAGCAATCATTGACGGTGTTACTTCCACAGCTTGTTTCCCGTTCCTAAAGTATTTGTGTCTTCTACGTGTCAGATTCTTGTGCAATGAAACTGTTTCTAGGCTTTTATCCGCCTGCCCTAATCTTGAAACACTGATTTTAAGTCGATGGACCACAACAACTTGGAAACTTAGTTTCAGTATTGATGTGCCCACGTTGCAGAGCTTATGCGTCCATTACGGTAGAGAGGCTTATCGAGCAAACTACTGCAGGTTTATGATCAATGCTCCTTGTTTGAAGAATTTAAAGATTGATGATAAATCTAGCCAGATTTGTTCAGTAACGAATATGCCTGACCTAGTGACGGCAGAAATAAAGCTTAGAAATGGAGATTCTAACCTTCTGGAATGCTTGAGCTCAGCCAAACACCTTTCCTTATGCTTAACACCATATTTGGTAAAGCCTCTATTTTTTCTTCTTTCTCCTGTGATTAAGATTGTTTACTGATAACACATATAGTTTCTTGCTACTTGTGGTATCAATTACTTTTGCAGAATGAATATCTTACAAGCGAGTTTAATCATCTGGTGTCTCTCGAGATATGCATTATATGCTTTCTAGATTGGTTCTGTCCTATACTCGAACTTTCCCCTATATTGCGAGTTCTCAAGTTGAGACAAGTATGTTTATTCCCAAACCCAAATTAATGATGATTCTGTAGCTTCTTTAAAATATAGTTAAACTAACTGTTTTTTCTTTTCTTTGGAAACTCAGATACACTGTAGCTCTAATAGAGATCTCGAAAACCAGTGGGAGAATCCGTGTTGCGTTCCTGAATGTTTGATTTCGAGTCTTGAAACTGTTGAGTGGGTTGGCTACCAAGGAAGACGAGTTGAGAGAGAAATGGCGATTTACATTTTAGAGAATGCAAACTGCCTAAAGACAATGACGATTACACCCTCGATATCCACCAGTTGGGAAGAGAAAACCAAGATGTTGATAGAGTTAACGTCCACGTCGAGGTGTTCTTTAAAACCAGGATTTAGTTTTTCGTTTATACCTGGGAGCAGCATTTAGAGTTTAGTGTGTGATTTGAATTGAACTTGTTTCTTTCTTCCTTCTTAAGCTAGCACTGAGCAATCCTTACTTCTGTTTTGTCTTATAGTGTGTTGCTTTACTACAAGGTTGTTTTTACTATTTTCTTGTCAAGTAAGAAACCGTACCTTAGGGTTTGTTTGGAAACAGAGTTATTGACTCTGTCCTGTTTTTGTTCTTGAAAATCTAGTTGGTCTACATAGATTTAAGACCCTGTAGGGATTGATACTAAATTTGCGCTATCAACTTTATGCTATAAGGTTTGATTAGTTTTATAGTTAGAACTTAGAACGATGATAATTTTACGCAAAAAAGAAAAAGCGATTATCTAAACAGTTACCTGAGTATGTTTACAAATGAAACAAAATGATAAAAGCTATTTCAGATAGCCACGTGAATAACTTCCAATGAGCAATCAGCTCCCTTGGATTGCTGGAACCTGCCTAGTTCTGTTATGTTTGATTTCGAGTCTTGAAACTCTAGAGTGGAGAGGTTACATAAGAAGAGCCGCAGATAAGGAGTTGGTGAGTTATCTCCTGCATCATGCACAATGTTTGAAAAACGACGAAGTTCTTCCTTAGATCCCATGACGTGGAAGAGACGCAACAGAACCTAGCTTCTGTGCCAAGAGGTTCTAAAACTTGCGAGCTTTGTGTTCGAGTAACAAAAACAACAAATTTGGTGGTTATAAAGATTTAACAATAGTTGCCTTTAAAAATGGCCCAACGGAGAAGGAAAGGATTGGTGATCTTAATCTTTTTAGCCTCCTTGTCTACCAGACTGGATCTGCTGGTTGTAGAAACTAGAAATAGAAAATCTATGTAATTTTGTTTTGACAAGTAGACAATCTTTTTTATATTAATTTTAATATCATGAGATATTATATTTATAATTTAAATAAAAATATCATATTATTTAACTCAATAAAAGGTGATACATATGATAAAAAAAAGTTTAAAACTCATAATATTAGCTAAATTTATTCATATTTTATCTCAGTAAGTAATAAATTTGCTAACACTTGGCTAAATTACTATGAAACATTGATATCTATTAATGTTTTCTGAATTTTTTTTTTCATTTCATAGCTATTATACTAGGTGAAAAATATCATCAATTTACTTTGAAACATGAAAATCTATTAATAGATTTCAATTTTGTGATTTCATACCTAATTTACTTGGTGAAATATTAAATTTGTTAATTAGACAAGCCTTATAAAATGAAAGAGAAGCTTCATTTGGATTATAAACCGAAACAGAGGAACTTACGAATCAGAGGAGTTTACGAAAAGGGTTAGGCCATTCTCTAATAATGTACGAAATTTTGATGATTTTATTGTAAACACCTAACACATGGTTTGATTAGGGTTCTTTGTGTCTTCTCTTTCAGCTTCAAAAGTCTGTCTCTCTCTTGGTGCATCTTTTCAAGATTCGCATAGTTTTTGTCTGGTTTCACATTGATTTGTAATGACATGTTTTCTGGTTTCTGATTGTATTCCAGACACAACCAAAGGAAATTTCAAAGATTCTTTAAGATGAGCAATATTAATGAGTTGCCTGACGATTTACTCGTGAAGATATTGTCAACCCTTCCGACAAAAGATGCCGTGACCACTTGTCTTTTATCCAAAAGATGGGAGTCCCTCTGGAAGAATGTGGCGAGGCTTGAATATGATCAAGAATATCACTATGCTAGGAGAATTGGATTTTCAAGATTCGTTGACAAGTCTCTACTTTCACATCAGTATCCGGTTCTACAAAGCCTGCATTTCAAGTTCAAGACAGGTTATGCTTATGGAGAAATTGGATTGTGGATTCGAACTGCAATCAGCCGTCACATACGCGAGCTTACACTCGAATGTGGTGATTTCTTGATCCAGTTACCATTTAGTTTGTTCACCTGCGAAACACTTGTGATCTTGAAACTCAAAGGTTGGATAGATCAGAACATTCCTTTGACTACCTCTCTACCTTCCCTCAAGACTCTTCACATTGTTCTCCTAAGGGAATCAAACTATGAAACGTTTTCTAGGCTTTTATCAAATTGTCCTGTTCTTGTTGACCTCATGCTGGAACAAAGAAAAAGCAATGCTTTGTCAAAGCTTAATATTGCGGTACCTTCATTGCAGAGATTGTTGATTAGAACAGTAACTGAGAGTGACAATAATGACTTAAGATATTCTTCTTATCAGAAGTATATTCCAAAGGTTGCGATAAATGTTCCTTCTTTGAAGTACTTAAACATTGATAATAATCGGGGTAATGACTTTGATGTCGTTAGTAACTTGCCTCATGTTGTGGAGGCAAGTATCAAATCTAATGCAATATCTACCAAAGCTTTCCTCAGGCATCTTACCAGCTCGGTCAAGCGTCTTTCATTGTATTCATTGAAGCCAGAGGTAATCCATCGCTCGATCACTTCAATTTATCAGTTATTTAAACCATAGATCAAAAGCTTAATGCATTTTTTTTTTATTTCTCCGGCTTTCAGGATATGGATCCTAGTATCTTCTGTCAACTTGTACACTTGGAGCTATGCACTTCAGCAAGTGGGTGGTTGAAGTTACTTGCACGCATGCTCCAATGTTCACTAAAATTACGAGTTCTCAAGCTTTTCAATGTAATGCAGCTTCCCCCACTTTTGTCTACTTATATGTTCTTTTACTTTTAGTACTCACTGATCCGATTAATATAATGACTTAGAATCATTCTAGCCGGTGGATGCGTCCCCTGGATCGCTGGGACCAGCCGAGCTCTGTTCCAAAATGTATGAGGTCCAGTCTTGAAACGCTAGAGTGGAGAGGATACTTTGGGAGAGAAACAGATAAGGATATTATGAGTTATCTCCTGAAGCATTCTATGTGTTTGAGGACGGTGAAAATAACCCCTAATGAATCCAAGTGCTTGGAGAAAATGCATCAGATGGTCGAGGACTTAGCTTCTGTACTCTCAATAGGTTCATCAAATACATGCAAACTTGTGTTCAACATATGAAGTTGTAAGCTAGAAAAAGAAAAAAAAAGGATGTTGCGTTCGGATTCAGTTCCTACAACTAGAGTAAAGAATTAAGGTTGTAATGTTTTGCTTTAAATAAAGATTCTCTCATTCTCTTGCATTTGGTTTGTTTTTACTTTTTAGCATCTGAAGTTTTGGGTATCTTAAAACTTGAAATCAGACTAAAAAATACCGTAAATTGAGACTCCAACTGTAAAGAATTCAATGTTTCTAAGTGCAAAGCCAAGAACTAAGAAGCTACCACCAAATGAGACTCCAACTGTAAAGAATTAAAATGTTTCCAGATGCAAAACTATGAACTAAGAAGCTTCATAGATAAGTTCAAAAACACACAAGCTTACATGCTTTTGAAGCTATGGGAAAAGATGCAATATTAATATTCTTGAACATTTGATATTTCTCAGCAGAATTTGAAGCGAATGTTGCCATCTTTAAACGACTTGCATTTGCTAAGATGTACTTTGTCATTTTTCTCTCTTGCTCTGTCCCTTGGTAATATCTCCACTCAAAGATCTCAAGATGTGATGATAAACATCCTGGAACAGAGCTCGGTTTGGTCCACCAATTATCCAGTTCTTTGTATCCGTTATAATGATGTAGATGATAGAACTGAGAGAACAAAACATGATGACATGCACAAATGTTAATGTTAAACTGTCCAAATTAAAACAAGTTGAAAACAAACTTCCAATATCACATAACATACCCTTTTGAGCTTGAGAACTCGAAGTCTTGGACCGTGATTGAGTAAATGCATAAGTGTTTTACACCACGTGAGGGTGCATGTACATAGCTCTAGATGTTCAAGACGGAGGAAGAAAGTGCCATGAGAAGGATATAAACTCTGTCAATATATCATCAAAGCAAATAGTCAGGATAATGCAATGAAACAAACAAAAGGACGTACACAAACATCTTTTAAACATGATTGGAGTACTTGATGATGAAGTTTTTTACCTTATTAGAGTTACAACACAGAGAGAGATGTCGAACTGAGGTAAGAGATTCCATGAAACTCTCAGGTTGATCAAAAGTAGTGTCGATATTAGCCTTTACCAAATCAGGCATAGGTTCCAACTTCAAGAATCTACTAAAATCCGTAATCTTCAAGCGTTTCAAAGAAGGAGCTTTGATCACAAATCCCCTAAGACTTGAGGTGTAAAGTACTCCAACTAAATTATCCACAGTTAACTCCTCAATGAAGGTACATTAATGGTAAATGTTCTCACATTGTCACATGCTCCTCGTCTTACGACCAAAACTTCAAGAATTGGGCAAACGTTTAAAAACGTTTTGACAGATTCTCCGCCACGAAACTCCACCGATAAAAGGTGCAGATTTTTAAGAGAGTGCAAACAAAACGAAGGCTGAAGACCCAATAGACGTACTTGATGTAGTACCAATGTTTTGAGTGTTCCACAAGCACTCAAGCAACTCGGTAATGCGAAGTTACGGCTAAACGAATTGATTCTCAATTCACTCACAGAACGGTTAGCCACGGTTTTAAACCAAGCATCAATGTCTGGATCATCAAAATATAGGCCAAGACTTAGATCAAAGCTCGTTAGAACAGGAACTTCACTAAGTGACAAAGACTTGTAGATAAACCTACTAAATTTCGGGTAATTACTCAACGAATGATGACCATACTTGAGATTTGGCACACGCTTCCAAAGATGTTTCCAACGTTTCGACAATACAGTTGTGGTTATACACAAATAAGTCTAGCCTCTGACCCTCCAGTTTGGTTTGGATAAACCATTTTTCAAGTAGCCAAGTATGCTTCTCCATTAGAAGACAGGAGTCATAAAGCCCTAATAATGATTAGTAAATTTATATACAGCCACCAGGAGGGATATCTTATTTGGATTTGGAAAATCCATACCAAACCAAAGTCTATCTATTTGGATTCGAGATATTTTAAATCCACCTTGCTAAATTGTGTTTTTATATATAACACAAAAGTTTAAACATAGAAGCTCAAATTTTTAATTTTAATCCGTATTTTCTTACGATTAGTAAAATTTGGTGACTCAAATTTAGTAATTAACATAATAAATCTAGTGTGACCTCTTGCTTCAAATAAAATCAAACCGGCCTGTAAGAGAACCGAACCAACAAAATTATAAAGTGGCAAATTCGATTTCTTTTTTGGGCAATTTACTTCTTGTTATCGCGATATAACCTGCACAATCCAGAGAACACACATTTCGTCACTGAAGCAACGATTTTGCTGGAAATAGTAAGTTTCTTTTTTGCTAATTTCTTCGCGTCATTGTGGATTTCGAATCAATCGTTGTTTTTCTGCCTTAATTTTCTCGATTCTATGATTTTAACCCAAATGCGAACGGATCAGTTTTCAGTGATTCTTGGTCAAAACAATTGAAAAATTGGACCTTTTATCTGACCCCGAACTTGTCTAGACTGCATCATAGGGTGAATTCTCTGCGAATCCAATGTTTGCATATGGTTGTGTTCATTAGCATCTTCCTGAATATATGATACCCAGAACTTCAATTTCTTTTCTTTTGCAGGAATGAGAGCCGATTGTGAAAATCAGAGATAAAAGAAGAAAGCTTTTTGTTAATTTAGAAATGGATGATTATAGGGATAGGATCAGTCGGTTGCCGGATGATTTCCTCATACAGATATTGTCATGGCTACCAACAAAAGATGTCTTGGGGACGAGTCTTTTGTCAAAACGATGGCGGTTTCTTTGGACATTGGTCCCTAGGCTCAGCTATGATCTCAGGCTTCACGATAATTCATGCCCAAAGTTCACAAAGTTCGTCGACAGGTCTTTGTTACTACACAAGGCTCCAACTTTGGAGAGTTTGCATATCAAGATTGGTTCGATGTGTCAAAACGCAGATGTAGATACAGGGTTATGGGTTAGAATCGCCGTAGACCGATGCGTGCGTGAGCTAAGTATCAGTTATTGTTCCGGTGAAGAGCCTATAAGATTGCCTAAGTGCTTGTTTACTTGCAGAACGCTTGTGGTCCTGAAACTCGAGAACACAAGCCTTGTTGATGCCTCTTCTTATGGTTGCTTTCCATCTCTCAAGACTTTGCACCTTTTAGACGTTAAGTACTTAGATGACCAATCACTTCCTCAGATTTTGTCCAGCTGCTCTAGTCTCGAAGATTTGGTTGTGAAGAGATGCCCTGGTGACAATGTTAAAGTCGTCTCTTTTACTGCGTTGTCCTTGAGAACTCTCTCTTTGCAGAAATCTTCACAAGCTTTTGAAGGAGACGATGATGGGTTCTTGATAGTTGCTCCTAAACTGAAGCGTCTAGACATTGAAGACTATTGGGGTGGCTTTTGTTACATTGATAACATGCCTGATGTGGTAGAGGCAAATGTCGATGTTATTTATAAAAACACTGAGAAACTTTTGGGTTCTCTCACCATGGTCAAGCGTCTAACACTATGTTTGATCACTTCAGATGTAATCTCTCTTTCTATTACTTGAACAACAACAAAAAGTCGGTTTCTTGTGATTTGATTTATTGTGATTGATGTTCTTAAAATGCAGGCTGCTTATCTTTCTGGTACTATCTTCTCTCAGCTTGTTCATCTAGAGCTATGCACATGTGCGCCACAGTGGTGGGATCTACTCACCCGACTGATTGAAGATTCACCTAAACTACGAGTTCTTAAACTACGACAGGTACATTGACACAAACCCAGTTTCTGTTACCGGCTTTGAATGAACAGAGCATTGGAGTTCTTATTAGCTCGTTACCCAATTTTCATCGCAGAAACATATTCGACGTGCCACTAGTCCAAGGGCTAGTTGGAAGCAACCTGTTTCTCTTCCCAAGGGTTTGATTCATCTTGAGACCTTAAAGTGGAAATTATACGAAGGGTCACAAAAGCAGAAGGAAGTGGCGAGATTCATCTTAAAACATGCTATTCGATTGAAGACAGCGATTATCTCTCCCAAGCCCTCTAGTACTCTGCCAGAGAAACATGAGATGCTCAAGGAGTTGTCATCTGCGGCGCGTGGTTCCAGTACATGCGAGCTCTTGTTCGACTGAATTTGATTAATGCTTGGTTTATATTAAGTCTCGCAAAACTTTATAATGTTCAATTCAGTTGCGTTTTTAAGTTGCATGTGCTCTGTTTAACTTTCATATAAGTGCCTTGGGAGTCAAGTCTCATGGAGGAAGAGATCATCTCGGCATTTCTACGCCGACAACTTAACATTTCAAAAACGTGACCTTTCTAGTGGGCAAAGTCTTGATTTAAGTAATCTGAGAAACGTTTCTCATTTCCATTGATCAAAATCTCCTCACCAAGTCCACAATCAATCTTTAAACAACAAAAAAAGGCTCCATAATCAATCACTTGGTAGAGTCTTCTACAGTCTACCTTAAAAAGAATGCACATGAAGACGCAGTTGCTTATTCATCATTTCTAAAAAGCATTCCCTTAACAATTCTGCAAATCTGTTAAGATCGGATTCGTTATTAGCACCATGTGAGTTTAAATTTGATTTCAATTCTTTTTTCAGTTCTATAAATGTCTAATCCAAACCACACATATGGTTACTTGTTTATTTCCAAGGTTAATTCAAGCAAACTAATACCGAGTTTGATTTGTCACTGCTTCTTTTTTTCTTCTGATTTCTGGATGTTAACAGACATCATGATTTTGTTGAATTTTAGAGATGGATAGGATCAGCGAGTTGCCTGATGCTTTCCTGTTGCAGACACTATCTTTGATTCAGGCAAAAGTTCTTGTGGCCACGAGTGTTCTGTACCGGATTGCTTGTTAACCAGTCTTGAAATCTTTGAGTGGAGGAGATACAAAGGAACGAAAGATCAGAGAGATGTCGCGACCTATATCTTGAGAAATTCTCGTCATTTGAAAATGGTGATAATCCGCACTAAGTCAGATGATCCTGAAGAGCAACCTGAGATGATCAAGAAGTTAGCATTATCGCCGAGAGCTTCAGCTACATGTGAACTTGCATGATTTCAACTAAAAACTTTCTCCATCCGTTGTCCAAAGAAATTTTTTTCTCAGTCCTTTCATAATATTATATATGTGGGATAAGTCATTGATGTTCCTTGTGAATCAAGTCTGCTAAAACAAAAGAGAACAATCCCTGTTTTGATAACTATTTCTTGTGTTCAAAGTTTCTCCGAAACGACAAGTTACCAAGCTCGACAATGTCACCTGAGCTAAACCTAAATACGACGAAGTCATGTGCTTGTAAGTCCCCGGATCAAATTTTAGTCAGTTTAGTGGCCACTTTCTCCAGAAACAAAAAGTTGAAAATATGAGCCCAATTTAAATAAGACAAACCTTTTAAGAAATTAATTTGGCCCTAAGGCCTCTAATTGGGAACGGCTCTGTTCAACAATGTCCCAACTGCAAACTCGCAATTGATTATTTGAATCGTTAGATATTTTTAAAATGTTGAGATTTAATAAGATCGTCTAAGCTAGAAATCTCGTACAGTGCACGTTATTGATAAAAAGAAAGATTTATTCACAACATAGTTAATTAATTATGTGGATACAAAATATATGGCGGAGGTGTCAGTCAAACAAAAAAGAGGACAAAGATCTGATTAATGAATCCAACCTTATAAATTGAGTCAGTCTATTCACCTTACGCGTGAAGTAAATTAAAGAAACCGACTAAATGAAATCAAAGAAAGTTGGATAAATCTTCACAATTATGCTAAGTTCGTTTCATGAAACAACGTGTACGTCGAAAGAAAACTAATTCAAACCAATCAAATGTCAAGGAAACAACATGAGTAGACGAACCTAGTCATCTTAAAGCTTTTGATTTCACAAAAGGTAATGGAACCTATTAAGAGAAATGAATACAAAGAATTTGACCAACACATTAACACCGTTTTGAAATCTCCTTGAAGAGTCATCGTTTATATTCTTTGCATTTATGTCTCTCAGTCGCTGTATATAAATATATAAAGTAACTAGCTGAAAAGCCTCATCACCTACATTTGATAATTCGAGCATTTTCCAGCGTTTTGTCTGAGTTTCTCTTTTTCCAATTTGTTTCGTGTTTACGTCTGAGAAGATATGGACAGAATCAGTGGGTTATCTGATGAATTGCTAGTGATAATATTGTCATTTCTTCCAACAAAAATGGCTGTGTCCACGAGCATTCTATCGAAACGATGGGAGCATCTTTGGAGGTGGTTGCCAAAACTCGAGTACGATGACCAAAATTGTTCAGAGTCGTCTCAATGCAAGAGGTTAAAATGGTTCCTTCTCAGAGGCCTGGCACTACATAGAGCTCCGGTTATAGAAAGCTTGCGTCTCAAGATAACAAATCCGTATTTTAAACCTGACGTTATGAGACTGATGGTTGCGTCTGCCGCTTTTCGCAACGTACGTGAGCTGGATATTCATTATTCTTCTTTTCCCGGAAAGTCAAACATATTGCCGATCAACTTTTATACCAAGAGATCTCTGGTGTTTTTGAAACTCGATGGTGGGATTTTCTTGGATAATCCTGACATGGTTTGTTTTCACTCTCTCAAAACTTTGCAACTTCAAGGCGTGGCATACTTCAATGAAGAAACTCTTCAACGACTTCTATCTAGTTGCCCTGCTCTTGAAGAACTATTGGTGGATATATCGGAAGATGACAAGATGAGAAAGTTCACTATTATTGTCCCAACTTTGCAGCGTTTATCACTCTATATACCCTATTTCTATGATATAGATGGGTTTGTGATAAAAACTCCTTCTCTCAAGTATTTAAAACTCAAGGACCATAATGATAAGAGTCACTATTGTTTGATTGACAATATGCCTAACCTGATCGAGGCATATGTCGATGTGGAATGCCCTGATATCAAGAGTCTTATTGGATCAATCACATCCGTCAAGCGTCTTACAATATGTTCAGAGGTAATCAGTTTCTATTTATAAATTCATTTATTAAAAATCGTCTTTTTTAATAATTTGAATTTATGTGCAGGCTCTGTATGGTGAAGGTTTTGTCTTTAGACAACTTGAACATCTGAAGCAATGTAGATGCAAAGAGTTTTCGTCGAAACTACTTGTCTCGCTGTTGAATGATTCTCCTAAAGTACGAGAACTAGAACTTTTCGAAATGCATGTAAGTTTCTTCGTTAAACTATTTCTTTTTTTTGTCTAATGCATAATATGGTTCTATTCTAATTCTTTTGCTTAATCTTAGGATCATTACTATAATGGTATGATTAAGTGGAATCAGCCAGATACTGTTCCTGGATGTATCTTGTCGAGTCTACAAATTCTCAACTGGTCAGTATACACAGGAGCACCAGATGAGAGAAATCTTGCGGTTTACATCTTGAAAAATGCTACTCACTTGAAGACTACAACAATCTACTCTGAAGAATGTCATGTTCCAAAATTTGAGATGATAAAAGAGTTGGCACTTTCTTCCAGAGCTTCAACAACATGCCAACTCGTGTTTGATTAAGGATTTGAGCCTGTTATTCAGTTATGCTCTGTGGTTGGACTCGCGCGTATGGTTTGTCTTCAACTATGAAATCATGCTTTCGGCAAATAACTTGTTTCTTTTTATTGTCTAAGAAAATAAACATATAACAGATAATGTTATATGGACCTAAGTTTTTCTTTCTTTTGGTATGAATGTTAAGAATTATATGGACCTAAATTTATATAATAAAATGTAATACTTTGCATGTGGCTATCTATTCTATATTGTTCTAACATGAAGTTGTAAGGGAGTCAGATATAAAAAAATGAAGTTGTCTTGTGAACGAATAAAAGAGAACAAGCTCTGTGCTGAATATTGAAAGAACATCATGTATAGGATGTTGGAGACATTGGACAGAGGAGATCAGTCGTGGCTAAATATATGAATATGATGATGTTGATGATAGGATTATCATAGGGCCGAAGACTTTTTTTTAAAAAAATCTTACCTAGGATCCGGTCCTTTTGCTAGTACATCTAGGATTAGAACTATAGATAGTGAATGATATATTTCATTGCGTAAGGGTCAAGGGAGGTTGAGATCGTACCGAGGAGTGCACTATAAATTAGTTTGTCTCGGCGGTTCCACAAGCTGAAGTCCATATTTTCTGAGATCGTATCATTGACAGCAGTAAGAGTACCAGGTAGAATAGTTTGAGATCCATCGAAATGACCTGCGAAGGCATAACCATCAAGAAGAGCATGCATTTCAAGACTGATCCACATGAAGTATTTGGTGGTGCTGAGTCTTGAACGTAAAACATTTTGATATTGAGGCGATAGACATGGATGACGGCAGCTAAAGAAATTGGAGATTAATTTTTTTCTTTTTGGTTTTAGAATTGATGGCTCTTGATACAATATGTAGATTGTGAGTGTTACAATATCTTATTGAGTATGATCATATCCTGTAATTAGTTCCAAAGGGAATATTATGTAAGTAAATAACCAGCCTAATTATAGTGATTGATGAATCAACGTGATATGTGTGATTGTGTTTCCTTATCACTCATATCCGTAACAAGAACAACCTTAATTTAAAATCCCAAACTTCTTTTTTTGTTTATTAAACGCATATTGGTCGAAGTTAATACTCTTCTGGTTTGCTAAAAATTAAGGTTCTCCCAAACTAGGAGACTTGGAGCGCAATGCACGTAAGTTTCTCAGATAGACTATATCAGTTTTTAGTCTAACAATTCAGTGTAACGTTTCATCTAACTCAGATTTTTTTTTTTTAATCTAAGGTACATTTTGCTGTTGAATTTGATATATAGCTGTTTTAGTGTTCAATCAACAAGAAAATAGATATGTTATAATCTTTAGCGCTGCGAGTTAAGCCTCTCCAGCTAGAGAAGCCAAAACTTGCTTTGTTCACCAGGCCTTGGCCCATAATAGATTTAGACTATTAAACCCAATTAAAAGGAAGCCCAACGGTTTTGATGAGCGGTGAGTAGAGAAGGATTCCGATAACTTCGACGGCGACGTTACTCTGAGACTCCGATATCTTCTGATAAACCACCTGCTACTAGGGCTGGGCATAAATACTTGTTACTCGTCCCGTACTCGCTACTTGTCCCGTACTCGTCTTGATAAAACAAATACTTGTTGTTGTCAAGTCGAGTAACAAGTCAACAAATTTCATTACTTGCAAGTACGGGTCAAATATCAAGTATCGTTTTTATTTTTAATACTTGTCTTGTTATTTGTCTCGTTACTTATACTTGTTACTTGTCTCATTACTTATACTTGTTACTTATTTGGTCCCTTTTAATAACAAAATCTATAACAAATATTAAGCCCAAAGATTAAGCCCAAAAACTATCCAAATTTCATATAAGCCCTAGTTATAATTGTCGATACTATTTATTTTTAACTTTTAAGAGATCTAGGGCTTCTCTCGGTATATCTTCACTCTCAGTTTTAAAATAGAAAGAAAGCAGAAAGCGGCTGCTTAACTTTGTCATTTTTCTCATAGCCGTTGATTTTTTCTCCATTGCTTATCTTAATCACTCAATTTTATCGATCTAATCAGGTTTGTCGTCACAATATCTGAATGAATGTCTTTGTTTTTTTTATTAGGGTTCAATCTTTATGTCTTTCATCTTTGTTTAAACATTTTGAGTTGTGAACTTTTCTGTATAGATGGAATCTGAGCAACATAGTATTAGTGGAAGTAAAAAAACTGATGCAGAGGAAATGGAGAGCGGACATGGTGGTGAATCAGCTCCAACTATGGAATCTGTTGAATCTAAGGTAGTCCCTAGACAAAGATCTCCTGCTTGGGTTAACTTTAAGAAATTAGAGAATGGAGACAAAGCTAAGTGTAATCATTGTGGCCAAGTAGTTACCATTAGATCACCATCTGGTGTCAATACTAGTGTTATGCTGAAACACATGGTTAGATGTAAGAAGCTACATCCAGAACTTGAGGTTGAGACTGTCGCTGGTAAAAGACTTAAGCAAGCAACCCTGCACCATCGATCTAAAAAAGAGAATGATGAAGCTGTTCCATCATACTTAGAATATAATAAAGAAGATTGCAGAAAAAGTTTGGTCAGAATGATTATAAAGGATGAGTTGCCTTTTAGGATTGTGGAAAGGGAAGGTTTTCGAGAATTCATATACATTCTCCAACCTCGGTTTGAAATTCCTTCCCGTAGAACTGTTACTAGAGAATGTATGAGTTTGTTTCTTGAAGAAAAGAAAAAGATGAAGCTGTTCTTTCAGAAACACAAAGGGAGTGTTTCTCTAACGACAGATACTTGGACGTCGGTTCAGAACATCAACTATATGTGTTTGACTGCACATTTTATTGATGAGAACTGGAATTTGCAAAAAAAAAATCATAAATTTTTGCCAAATTCTGAGTCACAAAGGTGAGCTGATAGGGAAAATGGTTGAAAGATGTTTGGTGTCTTGGGGAATCAGCAAGGTTTTCACAATCACCGTAGACAACGCAAGTGCAAACGATGTAGCACTGAGATTCTTAAAAAGAAGAGTTAAGTCATGGGGTAATAGTCTACTTGATGGTGAATATCTTCACATGAGATGTGGTGCACATATCCTAAATCTGGTTGTCAAAGATGGGTTGGAAGAAAATAAAGCCTCCATTAGTCGAATACGTTCTGCTGTTCTGTACGTAAGATCCTCTCCGGCAAGATTAGACAAATTCAAAGAGTGTCTTCTTCACCTAAAGCTTTCATCTACTGCTGGTGTATCTCTTAATGTTGAGACCAGATGGAACTCTACATATCTGATGTTGGAGTCAGCTTTGAAATTGAAGAGAGGTTTTGATATGCTTGAGTTAGAGGATGAGAAATACATGGTAGAACTTGGGAAGTTGGGCGGTGTGCCTACTGAATCAGACTGGGACTATGCAAAAGCATACTTACCTATTCTCAAGTTCTTTTATGATGCAACTCTGAAAGTTTCAGCAACTCGTTACGTTACCGGGAATTCATATCTGAAGGAGATTTTTGGAGTTGGTATAATGATACGAAAGATGGGATTGAACAAAACTGATCCTAATCAGAAAGCAATGGCTATTAAGATGAAGGCTAAGTTTTATAAATATTGGGGAGATATGGAGAACATGAATTTGATGATTTTTGCTGCGTGTGTTTTTGATCCACGATATAAACTGAAGTATGTGAGTTAGTTGATACGTGAGAGCTACGGTGTTGGTGGTAATAGCATAGCTGAAGCTTTGATTGTGAAAGTAACACTGGTTATAGAGAAGATGTTTCAGTACTATGAAGAGAAAGTCTCTAGTTCTTCAACGCAAGCTAGCAGAGGTGAAGGAGTAAATATTTCTTCAGAAGTAGCAGAAGAGGCTGCAGAAAGTTATGACCTTGATTCTATGATTGATATACATGAAGAAAGTGAAGAAAATTGTGCTTATCAGTCAGAATTGGAGAGCTATTTGGCTGATAGATGTGCTCCTAGATCAGATCCAAAGTTTGATGTATTATTTTGGTGGAAAAAGACAGGATCGAGGTATAAGACTCTCTCTGTAATGGCGAAAGATCTACTTGCTATGCCGGTTTCATCCGTTGCTTCTGAGTCAGCTTTTAGCACAGGTGGTCGTGTCATTGATCCTTTTCGTAGTTCTCTCACTCCAAGAATGGTTGAAGCTCTAATATGCACTCAAGATTGGATTCGCAATGATTATGAACAAAGTAGTTTGGAAGACCAAATTGAAGAGCTTGAAGTTCTAGAAAATGGTATACACTTACTTTTTCTTATTTATGAATCTTTTCTTTTATTTGTGAACTTACAAGTTTTATGTTGTTTTACAAGAATTTACGACTTCAACTGCTTATAGAAACTTGGCAGAAGGAGTTAGTTTAACTTTGGAGGAAGAATGAATGGTAAGAAACTAAGAATACTTCACGTTTCATATCTTGCAAGTTATCTTAATTATTCATATCTATATCTCTATGTTTGTTTTCTTTCTATCTGAATCTTTTTTACTTATCCACCCAATTTGTTTTTTGAATATAAAATTAGAATCAGTTACGTGTTCTTAGTTCCCACTATTGTTAAATACTTTGCACATTAGTCACCAACAGGTGGCTTTTATTTTTGATTGTCAAACATGCAAAATTATCATTTTCTTCTATATACTTATGTTTATTGTATAATTTTGTAGGAACAAAAAAAGAACCAAAGTAGACAAGAAATCTTTGGAGCATTGAAACAAAACCAGAAGAACAATGTTTTTAATATTTCAAATGCTTATCTTTTGTTTGTTTGTCTACTATTTTAAGTTTTTATGTGGTTTTAGAATGTTCATTTGGATATGCGTTTGAAGAGATTTAATTATGAAGGGATTTATTTATCTGATTTTAAGTATTATTTTAGGTTCAAATTTTTAAATATTTCAGATTCAAGTATCAAGTAACAAGTAACAAGTAAATTACGGGTCAAGTAACTTACAAATAGTCAGTTTCTAAACGAGTACTTGAAATAACTAGTACTTATTATGAGCGGGTCAAATACAAGTAATAAATTCAATTACTTAAACGAGTCAAGTATGAAATTTAACAAGTACTTGTCCCGTGCCCAGCCCTACCTGCTACTTCTTCTTCCATTTCCTCCCTTTCTCGATTCTTATCTGAGACACGAAGTATCATCGACAAATGCTTTCGCAAACGCTTCCGATTTATCCCCTGAATCTGGTTCCCGAGTTGAAATCGAGCATTAACTCTGAAATCCACAGGAAAAGACTCTCATCACCTAACAATCCAGATTTTTTCTTCGCTCTATTTTCACTTGTTCCCAATTCCTTTTCCTTGGCTTCAGACAAAATCCTTGAGTTCACATTGTTTTTTTTTCTTTTGTCTTTATTTTTTCTGACGGTCCGAAAAAGGAAGATAAAAATCAAGTTTTGGGTTTTGTAAGAATATGGATAGAATCAGTGGGTTAGCAGATGAATTGCTGGTTAAGATATTATCATCTGTTCCAACAAAACTTGCTGTATCCACTAGCAGCTGGTTAAGATATTTCCTTAGCATTTTGTAAGAATTTTTTTTTTGATGTGGGTTCCTAAACTCGAGTATGAAATTACTGGTTACAAACCAAAGCCTGCACTTCGGGCTTTTATCGACAAGAACATGCCATTACACAAAGCTCCGGTCATAGAAAGCTTCCACCTTAAATGTTCTTTTAAATCGTTTCAACCCGAGGATATTAATCATTGGCTTGGAATTGCAGTTTCTCTCTATGTGCGTGAGCTAAGTATCGAATATAGGTCTTTCAGTTACGATCCTGATGTGTTATTGCCTAGTAGCTTGTATACCTGCGAATCGCTCGTGACCTTAAAACTTAAAGGCATGATTGTTGTGGATGTTCCTCGAATGGTTTCTCTCCCTTCCTTGAAAACTTTGCATCTTCGAGACGTGAGATACGTAAACGAAGATTCTCTTCGGCTGCTTCTATCCTATTGCCCTGTGCTGGAAGATTTGGTCATTGAAGTAGATGGGACTGAAAATGTGAAGGCCATAGTCGTTATTGTCCCGTCCTTGCAGAGGTTATCATTGCAGATAGGTTCTGGGTGTTCTTCTGATGGGTATGTGATAGTTACCCCTTCATTAAAGTATTTCAAAGTTGAGGATGATAGAGATCAGTTCTCCTATTTGATCGAGGATATGCCAAAGCTTGAAGAGGCAGATATCAATGTTTATGATGATCTCCAGAGGCTTTTCGAAGCAATCACATCCGTCAAATGTCTTTCATTACACCGGTTCTTCAACAGCGAAGAAGAGGTAATATGTTTTCATCCATCTATCAGGTTCAGGTTTTCTATCGCATGATATTACTTGTAACACTAATTATCTGTTATGATGCTCACAACATGTGCAGTCTGTGTATCGCTCTGGTATTGTTTTCAGACAGCTTGAGCATCTGAAGCTATGTATATGCACCGATTATTGGTCAAAGTTACTAGTCAGGTTGCTCAAAGACTCTCCTATACTGCGAGTACTCAATCTTTACGTCGATGCTAGTTATGTAAGTGTCTCACTGACTCGATAAAACTGTCTAAAAGCAGTGTGTGGTGTAGTCTTAACTCTCTAATCTTTTTTATTATTTGTATCATCATCACAGGATCCAAGTCTTGAGCAGTATGAACGGATAAGTTGGGACAATAAACAGAGTTCTGTTCCTAAATGTTTGTTGAAGAGTCTTGAAACTTTCGAGTTTGTAGGGTACAGGGGAAGACCAGAAGAGAGAGATTTCTTGAGTTTTATGTTCAAAAATGCCAAGTGCTTGAAATCTACATCAATCTTGCGCTGATCATGTTAGGTTCCTCGATTCTAGATCATCAAAGGGTTTGTCGCATTCGATTCTAGATTTTAGGCTTTTTTTTTTAGTCCAAGAACAATTAGGTAAATGTGGTGGAACTTGCTTTAGAAATGAAAAACCTGTTTGGCAAAGTATATCGTATGTTTGCGTATATCGCGGTGGTATGGTTTATACTTAGCCAATAAAGAAAAGGAAAATTAACTAAAAGTATTTCTAGGGTTTTGTTATCTTCGTCTGGCTATTTATTCCTCTTCTTCTTTGTCCCAAGCCTCCTCTAAAGGTTATAAGCTGTTGTCAGACGGTGTATAGAGTAATTTTCTAAAAGATGGACAAGATTATTGGGTTTTCTGAAGATGAATTGGTAGTGAAGATCCTATCGTTTCTTCCAACGAAAGTTGCTGTGAGCACGAGCGTTTTGTCGAAGCAATGGAAGAATCTTTGGAAGCGGGTGGGAAAACTAAAACTTGAGTATGATGACAACGAAAGCAAAAATAAATCTCTAAAATCACAGAAGAGCTTCCGGCGTTTTGTTAAAAGGAATAGAGATTCCGCCTTAGAAAGCTTGTCTCTCAAGTTGAGTCCTGAACTATATGAACCTGAAGAATTCGAATCTTGGGTTGGATTCGCAGTTTCTCGCGGCGTACGCGAGCTGAGTATACCATTCTCTTCCTAAAAAATGGTATAGAGACTGGTCACCTGCCAGGTTGCCGGACACGTTGTATTTCTGCAAATCCCTCGTTTCCTTGCAACTCGAAAAGTACGTTTTAGTGCGTTTTCCAACTAGGGTTTGTCTTCCTTCTTTGAAAACTTTGCGACTTCGAAATGTAAGATTGGATGACGATGTATATGATGTTCAAGACGTTGAATATCTTCAAGCGTTTCTACGTCACTGCCCTGTTCTTGAGAATCTGATTTTGGAACACATTCAAGGTCGATCAGTGTGACTGTCCCGTCTTTGCAGAGATTAACCCTCGAGGGTATTTATCCAACTGGTTACTACGGGTATGCGATAAATACTCCTTCTCTGAAGTATTTGAAAGTTAAAGTTAGGGAGTATTATCACTTCTGTTCGATTGCAAATTTGCCTAAGCTAGAGGAGGCATATATCGATGTTGACTGCGCCTATAGCTACAAGTTTATCCAACCTATAACATCCGTCAAGCGTCTTTCATTATGCTTTAGATCTCACTATCTGGTAATCTATCTAATCTTTTTTCCATCTTCAATATATATATATATATCTCATTAAATATAATTTAATCTTGGTTTTTGTTTCTTTTCCAATTCTCTGTGCAGGGTGTCGACAAGTATACTGATGTCTTCGATCAGCTGGAACATTTGAAGCTATGTACATGCGACAAATTTTGGCCAAGATTACTTGCCCAATTTCTCAAATATTCTTCTAAACTACGAGTCCTCGAGCTCCACCTTATATATGTTAGTTTACTCAATTATATATCATCGACTATTATTTTTGGTCTTAATGCTTTCTATGGTTTAATCTAGCTAACTCGACCTTTTGATCTGATCAGAAACATGAACGTTGTAGTGTGGATCCAACTGTTTGCTGGAAAAATGAACTGAATTGTGATCCGCAATGTTTTAATACGAGTTTGGAAACTTTCAAGTGGACAGGGTATGAAGGAAGACAAGAAGAAAGAGATGTGGTCACATGTGTCTTGAACAATGCTCGTTGCTTAAAGACTGCAACAGTCCTGACTGAGTCAAGAATTCATTCTCAAAGTGTAGAAATAGATACCGAACAAAGTTGTCTTTATTGATTGAACATCTCAAGCTTATATACAACTCGACTCATTACAAAACCCTAACACTTAAGGATATATTCCAATAATCATAACAGGATATTTTCCTAAATATGCGATATACACCAAGATACGCTCTTATCTCCAATACTCCCCCTCACGTTGGAGCGTGAAGGTCCTCAACGCCCAACTTGGATAGTAGACTGACAAACTGAGATCGACCAAGAGCCTTAGTTAAAATATCGGCAAGTTGTTCAGTTGTCCGAATGTGGAATGGCGAAATGATCCCATCACGAACTGCATCTCGAACTGCATGACAATCGTTTTCAATATGTTTCGTACGCTCATGCTGAACTGGATTTGCAGACATGTCAATGGCGGCTTTACTATCACAAAACAATCGAGTTGGCGCTGACTGTTCGATACCTAATCCCTTTAGAAGCTTGCGAAACCACTTGATCTCGCGCAATGCTGCTGCCATAGACCGATATTCAGCTTCAGCGGAGGAATGAGAAACAGTATCTTGTTTCTTTGTCTTCCAAGCAACAGGGGAACCTCCAAGCAAAACCACAAAAGCTGTCAGAGAACGACGAGTTAACAGACAAGCAGACCAATCAGAATCACAGTATACTGTGAGAGTTAAATCAGGATCGGATGACAGCAAAATGCCTTGTCCAGGCGAGCCTTTTAAGAACCGAACAACTCGTATAGCAGCTGCCCAATGATGTTCCTTGGGAGCATGCATAAACTGAGACAAAATGTGCACTGCGTAGCTTAACTCAGGTCGAGTATGAAGAAGATAAATTAAGCGGCCAACTAACCGGCGATACTTCTTGGGATCAGTAAGAAGAGGGCTTGAGGTCGTGGCGAGGTTGTGATTCTGTTCAAGTGGCGTAGCAGCTGGTTTACAACCCAGATTTCCAGTGTCAGCGATAATGTCTAACGCATACTTGCGTTGAGACAGAAAAATACCTTCAGGACCTCGACTAACTTCAATCCCTAAGAAATATTTGAGCTTGCCTAAGTCTTTCATGGCGAAACACCTCCCCAAATACTCCTTGAACTTCTGTAGCATGTAGCTGTCATTACCACAAATAAGAAGATCATCAACATAGACTAAAACTCTAAGTTCAATGCCTTTGTTCGTGTAGGCAAAGAGAGAATAGTCATCATATGACTGAACAAAGCCAAACTTAAGCAGAGAATCAGACAACTTTTTAAACCAGCATCTTGGAGCCTGTTTTAGCCCATACAGCGATTTCCTTAGGCGACACACCTTGTTAGGATGCGAATGACGAAAGCCCGGTGGTAACTTCATATAGACTTCCTGCTCGAGATCACCATGGAGGAAAGCATTATGCACGTCCATTTGATATACTTCCCACTGTTTCGCAGCTACAAGTCGAAGGAGTGTGCGTACAGTAGTGAGCTTAATAACAGGAGCAAACGTCTCACTATAATCATCACCTTCGACTTGAGTATTGCCCATAACAACCAAACGGGCTTTATGTCGCTCAATAGATCCATCGGCGCGAAACTTGGTCTTGTAAACCCACTGACTTCCAAGAGCAACTTTCCCGGGAGGTAGATCAGTAATGTCCCAAGTATGATTTGCTTCACAAGCCCCGACTTCTTTGTTCATAGCGTCGTTCCATACCTTAAGCTGAACCGCCTCTTTGAAATGTTTGGGCTCGTTACCTGCTGTTATAGCTGCCAGAAATGCACGGTGCTCGGAAGAAAAGTTAGCTACCGAAACATAATTGGACAGTGGGTATAGTGAATTACCTCGGACCATTGACGAGGACTCGGAAGCAGTGGTGGGAGAAGCGAGATGTGTATTATCGCAGGTGATGTGACTGCAGTGAAAATCGCGTAACAATATCGAACGTGTCTTCTCTCGACAACCACGGCCAAGCTGTTCTACAGCTGGCTCTGTTTCGACCATAGTCTCTGGTTGAGATACGACAGGAGGTTCGTTCGGAACCATTGAAGGCTCCTCGACAACTGAAGGAGCTCCAGGAAATACCTCATCGACTGCAGTGTTGTCTGCGGAGGAATTTGAGGTGGCGACAGTTTCCTCAACTTCAGAAGGCACACTTAACGAGCTCCCCCTGACCAACAAAGGCGGATCATCAGTCCAATCGTTATCCGGAGAGACTGTTACTGATGAAGACGATTCAGGGGAAGACGAAGACATATCGACAAACGGAAAGATGTCTTCGCGAAAGACCACGTCGCGAGACACAAAGAACTCATTACGTTCGATGTCAAACACCTTCCACCCTTTCGTACCAAAGGGATATCCAACAAAGATGCACAAGCGACTCCTTTCTCCAAACTTGTCATGATCGCGACGATTGTGATGAACATAGCAAGCGGACCCGAACACGCGTAGCTGAAAGTAGTCTGGTCTACTCCCGTGAAGCAGTTCAAACGGAGATCGACCTTTAAGAACCGTCGATGGGGTCCGATTAATGAGATATGATGCTGTTAAAACTGCTTCACCCCAGAATTTGGTTGGCAAGTGTGCTTGGAACAGCAATGCGCGTGCAACATTAAGAATATGCCTATGCTTTCTTTCCACGCGTCTATTTTGTTGCGGCGTACCAACACAGGAGGTCTGATGCAGAATCCCATTTTGTCGAAAGAAAGGAGAAAGGCACATGAACTCTGTGCCATTATCGCTACGAATCGTCTTTACTGGTTTACCAAACTGTCTTTCTGCGTAGGCTATAAAGTTTGTAAGCACATTCTTGACTTCAGATTTTGCTAACATCAAGTACGTCCAAACTGCTCGAGAAAAATCATCAACAATTGTTAAAAAATAAACCGCTCCACACGAAGACGGTACGCGATAAGGACCCCACACATCGCAGTGGATCAAGGAAAAACAATCAGATGCTTTATTAATGCTATCGGGAAAAATTTCTCTTGTTTGTTTAGCTCGAAAACATACGTCACATGGACTAGAGCTAACAGAAGATTCAGAACTTGAAAACAAAGGTAAAGCAGAAATAACAGAGAAACTCGGATGTCCTAAACGCTGATGCCACAAAGTCGGATCCTTAGAAGCATTGACCGCATGAATCTTTGCTGTAGCAACATCCGTCAGATAATACACACCATCTCGCTCTTCACCGCTTCCAATCAAAGTCCTCGAAAAATGGTCCTGCAAAACACAAATTGTATCAGTAAATGTGGCAAAGCAACCTGTCTGCTTCAGGATTTTAGAGACTGATATCAAAGTGCAATTTAGCGATGGCACATATAACACATTCGTCAACGAGACGTTATGTGATAAAGGGAACACGCCCATGTGTAAAGCTAGTGTCTTGTTCCCATCAGCAAAGCCAATCGAACATGGTGGGATAGACACCAAGTCGACAAGAACAGAAAGGTCTCCTGTCATGTGATGAGAGGCCCCTGTGTCAAGTATTACATCGCCAAAGTATGCCTTACCAGACAATTTGTCAGATTTCCCAGATGATTTTTCTTGAATCATTTGAGTAAGCACTTTCCACTGGTCATCGGTAAAGTCTGGAAAGACAGAAGCATTGGAAGTTGTGGCATGTGCTGCAACGGCATATCCTCTGTCACGACCGCTGTTGCCACGACCACCACGACCACGAGAGCTGGAACCACGTCCACCACCACGTTCGGCTTTCTCCGTAAACCATTCGGGAAAACTTACAATTTGCCAGCACTCTTTCTTCTCATGACCAGAACGTCCACAGTGTGAACAGAGCACGCGAGACTTCAAGGTTGATGAATCGCCTGCTTCGTTCCGATTTGAGGTGGAGGAGGGAGAAGACTCAAGTTGCCTGGTCGCAAAACCAACAGCATCGGTCTGCTGCTCACGAACGCGAACACCGCCCAGCCGCTGCTCTTCCATCACCACTTTGGAGTAGATCTCCTCAACCGACGGTAACGGATCAAGTCCCATAAGAGAGGTACACAAACTACCGTAGCGCGATTCATCAAGTCCCATGAGGAACTGATGAACCTTCTCGTTGTCGTGTTCTTTGACAAACACATTCATCGCACCACAGGTACACGCTGGCACAGGCTGATATACGGCAAGCTCGTCCCAAAGAGTCGTCAGCTTCCCATAGTAATCGAGCACTGTCTGACCATTCTGACGACAACTGGCAAGCTGTGCCTTCAATTGATGAATACACACTTGGTTTCCAACTGAGAAACGCTGTTTCAAATGCTCCCAAAGCTGACCAGCCTCGGTAACAAATGTTACTGTGTTTTTCACCTTTGGCTCGATCGAAGCCCTAATCCACCCGATGATCATCGAGTTTACCGCAACCCAGTTGTCATAATCCGGACTCCCAACCTCAGGTTTTTTCAACGTCCCGTTGATAAACCCTGTTTTGCGCTTGGCCTGGAGAGCATTAAGCATCTCATTCGCCCAGAGATTGTAGTTCTCGCCGTTCAACTTGACCGGAGTGATCATGGCACCTGGATTGTCGGAACCGTACAGGACATACGGAGACGAAGATACTATCTCCACGGTTGACATCGCCTTGGACGTCTCAACAGCTTTGTCACCCGACATGATGAGAAGATGACTTGCTCAAACTATGAACTTGTCGACACAAAGAAAACGAACTGTTTAAGAAGATGAAGAAATTTGCGGAAGATTAGTATTTTGCTCTGATACCATGTAGAAATAGATACCGAACAAAGTTGTCTTTATTGATTGAACATCTCAAGCTTATATACAACTCGACTCATTACAAAACCCTAACACTTAAGGATATATTCCAATAATCATAACAGGATATTTTCCTAAATATGCGATATACACCAAGATACGCTCTTATCTCCAATACAAAGGAAACTTGAAATGATTAATGAGTTGACACTTTCTTCCCTAGCTTCAACCACATGCAAGCTCGCGTTTGCTTTGACTAGTTGAATAAATCTTTAGATGAATAGGCATATCATTTTATGTTATCTGCTCCATCTTTGTCTATTGATTAGGTGGTTAATTAACCAGTGTGCTCTTAGACAGTGTCTATTGTTCTCTCTGTTGGTGCTTCAAACGGTTATTGCATTTTTAGTTTAGTTCAAGGTGAGACTACTGATTTCTGGTTTAGCATCTTTTAGTTTGATATTGGTTCGGTTAAACTCTTGATTTAGAAATTTGACAAAGAAGAAAGAAGAAAGATGAAGCGGAAACTTCTTCACGTCTTCAGGAAAAAGCTTCTGGACCGTTGGATCTATGAAGGTCAGAATTTTAATGGTGCAGTTAAATGTTAATAACACAATGGTTTTCGGTTCCCAATGGTCGGCTTTTTTTAGAAACATAAATCATTCTTAACTCGATTTACATTTACCATTTCTTAAAATAAACAATAATAGTTTTTAAAGGTAGAAGAATAGAATCACTGAGAACAAAATAGTTTTATTTTGAAAATGAATTATCATTTTTTTTTCAATATGTAAAGTAATAAAATTATTAAAATATACTTAGAGTTTGGTTTGTGTCAAAAATGACAGTACTCAACAACATTGGACTCCCCAACAAAGGCACAAACCGTGAAATTGGGCCTGCTATTCTGGCGCGTAATATCAACGTTCGAAATATGCGCGTGGAAAATAATTAATAGCTTTTCCACATTTGAAGTGTCATTGATTATTTCTCTCTGCGCATGGAATGTGAATCGATTGATGAAGTCTTGGAAGTTGCACCGCTCAAATCACTTTAGGGTTCCTATTTTCAGAGGATTTGGTATTAGTAACAAAGCAGCTGCTCCTGTTCTCCGTTGAACAAGAAGAACAGGTTAGTTTCTTCTAGTTCTCAGTCTGTTTGTGTTTAGTTCATGAATAATCTTTTAATTAACCGCTCGGTGTGTCTTGCTTTCATGTGGTTCTATTTCTTTTTGTGGATTGTTATGTACCTCCTTAAGGTTTTGCTTTGACCCTGCGTCGTTGCTTATGATTACTTGTTTGCTTCCTGAGAATTTTCATATCCCTTGTTCGTATATTTGACGTTTTGAGGCTTTGGTGCTAATTTGGTTTAAGGGATTCTAGCCTTTGAAAGGAAAATCTGTGGAAGCCGAAAGGTTTTACGGAGTTTAAAGAAGAAGGAGATGGGTAAAGGAAAAACTGCTTTTAGGAACCCTCGTAATCAGAGATCTTTCAAAATGTGCATATATAACATGGTATCGAAAAAGATTCAGAAGCCGAAGAAGCCTGACTCTTCGAAGCAAAAGCTGTCGTTTGCGACGACGTCGGTTGATGTGAAGAAACTTGATTGGTTCGAAAACTCTTTTCTTGTTCCATCCCTTGCGAGTTTCGGTTTTTATGAGCATGATGTGAAACAGAGATGGAGCTTCCTGCCGGTTGAGACCAAGAAAAAGTTGGAAGAGAGATTTGAGATGTTGCAAGCCAAGGAGGAATGTTATTATGTGTCGGAGAAGATAAAGCTTTTGCATGAGGTGGCCTCTCTGATCTTTGAAGCAGATTAGACTTTTTTTGGGTTTATGTCTAAAATTCAATGCCCATGCCACCTATTTCTTCGCTTTGATGAACTTAGAACTTGTGTTTTCTCTTCCAAATAATTTAGTTCTTTTTTCTCAGCAACTCATGTTGGTCTCAAGTTTTAATCTTTTGACATTCGATTGTGTATTCGCATGTTCTTATTATAAATCTTTGTGTTCTCTCCTTAGCGCTGCCTATTCTTCCGACAATCAGAACAATGATGTTTTCATAATTTAATCCTCAGTAATGTTAATGTAACACAATACTCTGGTAATATTAACCTCAGTAATGTCTCTAGGGTTCTCCTGTAGCTTCTGTTGATCATCTGTCGCTTGTGTTATTCGTTTGGTCACTCAAAGAATCTGGTGTTCTTGTGAAAGAATAAACTGATCAATTTTTAGATGTGTTTGTTCGATTTTTTCCTCTAGTAATTCGAGTTAAAAGCTTGGGATTTGAAAAGGAATGGCTCATAGGGATAGGATAAGTCACTTGCCTGAGGAGTTGCTCTTGAAAATATTGTCCTTTCTACCTAGCTAGTACCAAAGATGTTGTGGCAACAATGGTTTTGTCTAAACGGTGGCAGCCCCTTTGGATGATGGTGCCAAAACTCATATATAATGATGATAGTTATGGGTATACTGGGTATGGGAACTATACAATGCGATTCTTGCAGATGTTTCTTCAACGTTCTCTTTCCCATGTCTCAAAGATTTGACAATTTTATCAGTCAAATACCCTGGTGATGAATTTGGCCAGAGATTTTTATCTAATTGTACCGTTCTGGAATATTTGAATGTTGTGCAATGTCCCGGTGACAATGTGACCAAATTGACGGTTAGAGTGCTTTCTCTCAAGATATTAACACTTCATAAATCACGAGACAGAGATATAGGTGATGCAGATGGGTTTGTGATAGATGATCATTCTTTGGAACAAATGTGCATTTGTAATGATAGGGGTGGATTTTTTGTCATTGAGAATGAGATGCCTAATATTGTAGAGGCATATTTTGAAGTTAGTTATCAGCGTGTTAGCAAGATTTTGGGTTCTATATCTTCTTCAGGCAAACGTCTCTAATTATGGGTCTAATTGACAAATTAACTTTAAAGGCTTTTAGGATTTTTAAACAAAAATAAATTTTTTAAAATCAGGATTTAACCAATCAGATTTTAATGATTTTAAAGTCTTAAAAGTCATAACTTTCCTCCTAAAAAATCTCACAACCTTCTCTCTCTTTTTTTCTTTGTTAACCACTTAACCTATACTTTTTTTAAAAGCCTCAAAATGTGACTTTTTTTTCAAAGTTACAGTTATAATTTAACCACAGTTCTTCCCGATCAGACCCTATGTTTAATATAACAAAATAAATTTAATTAAAGTGTGAACAAAATGTAAAATGTGATATAATTTTTTGTGTTAATTTACAATCAATTCCTTTTATTCCAAAAAGAGCGGGAAAGCCTTTAGGGATTTGCCGGGTTAGTCATAAATTAAATAATCGCTGAAATGAGGATTTAGCTCTCAAATCCGAAGAGTACTGTAGACTCTAGTTTTGTGGGTTTCTCTAATCTGTCAAAAATTTCTGATTGTTCGTCTTAAATTGCTGGATCCGAAGATGAATCGGTTCACAAACACTCCGTTCGATTACTCTTCAAGTCCGGCGATGATTCTTCAATGTCCGGTGAGCTTCGATTCCTTTTTTATCCCCTTTTTCTGTAATTGTTAGGGTTTGTATCGTCCCGTGTGATTTGTGATTCTCCGTTGCTTACGACTATATTTGTTTGTTTCCAGCAAAAAATCCAGTGAAATTTGGAAGAGAAAACACCTCAAAAATTTCAGAATCGGGAAAGGACATCGAAAACCAGGTTTTATCCATCTTGTATGTACTGGATTCGATTTGAGTTGCTTGGGATTTGAAAAGGAATGGCTCATAGGGATAGGATAAGTCACTTGCCTGATGAGTTGCTCTTGAGGATATTGCGGTTTCTGCCTAGTACCAAAGATGTTGTAGTCACAATGGTTTTGTCTAAACGGTGGCAGTTTCTTTGGATGATGGTGCCAAAACTCGTATACGATGATCATAGCTATCCGCATCGTAAGTATGGAAGGTTTTCACGCTTTGTGGACAGGTCTCTGCTTTTGCACAAGGCTCCAGTCCTACAGACTTTGCATTTCAAAGTTAGCAAAACCTGTGGTGTTGGTGATATTCCACTATGGACTAGAGCTGCGGATAAACGCTCTGTGCGTGAACTGATTATCGAGATCGGCAGCTCTTCTAGTAGCTCTTCTAGTAGCTCTTCTAGTGCATCTCCGGCCATTTTTCCAAGGAGTTTGTACACAGGGTGTAGAATGCTTGCGAGGTTGGAACTAATTAACGTTATTCTCGTGGATGTTTCTTCAACGGTCTCTTTCCCATCTCTCAAGTATTTGGGACTTAAATCCGTCAAGTACCCTGGTGATGAATTTGTCCAGATGTTGTTATCCAATTGTATCGTTTTGGAACATTTGTGGGTTGAGCAATGCCCCGGTGATAATGTGACCATTTTCACCATTAGAGGGCCTTCTCTCAAGAGATTAGTCATGGATAAATCACAAGACAGAGAAACAGTAGATGCAGATGGGTTTATAATAGACGCTCCTTCTTTGGAGTGGTTGGGGATTATTGATTATAGTGGTGGATGTGTCGTTGAAATGCCTAGTATTGTAAAGGCATATTTTGAAGTTAGTTATCAGTGTTTTAGCAATATTTTGGGTACTATAACTTCAGTCAAATGTCTTCAGTTATGTTTACTATACTCAAAGGTAACAAAATATGCTCTTTTACTTACGGCTTTTGCTTCTCTCATTTTCCATCTACATTCTTGCTTTTCTTTTCAGTATTGATTATTATTACCACGACTGTGTTCCACCAAGAATGGTGGGCTTTCTTTTACTCATATATCGACGTTGGCACTTACATTGTTACTTAATGTTTGTCTCTTTTGCAGGATGCATATCCAGTTGGTAATGTCTTCTACTGTCTTGAACATTTAACGATGTGCACGTGTCAAAAGGAGTGGTTGAATACACTTATTTGTCTGCTCAAAGATTCCCCTAAACTAAAGTATCTCAAACTCGTAAAAGTACGTAGATCTAAACCTGACTTACATTCTCTTTCGCTGACCAGAGTGTAGGTTGTTCTAATCCATTCTACTTCTATCAGTTCCATTTCATTGAAGGTAAAGAACCGCGCCTGTGCTGGAATGAACCAAGCTCAGTTCCAGAATGTGTGTTATCGAGTCTTGAAACTCTGAAATGGGTAGACTATGAAGGAACTGAAGAAGAGAAAGAAGTGGCAGCATTCATCTTAAGAAACGGAAGCTGTTTGAAGAAGGTAATCATCTCCTTTGAAACCACTGACCGTGACGAGAAACTTGAGATGATCAAGGAGTTGTCATTTTTGTCAAGGCGTTCACCTACCTGTCACCTTATATTCGACTGATGTTGCGGTCAAGTAACATCTTGCTGGTTTGGTTGGTGTTTGGTCTTAATGTTAGATAAGCTATCAGAATTTCTTATGTTTCTCTTTTCTAAATTTAGCACTTTAAATTTGTTATGTTCTGTCTTCGCATTAGAAACACATTACAACTATTATCCTTTGTTTACTCCAATTCTGTGGCACTTTCTGTCTTCTTATTACGCAAGGATTGTTTAACTGGGCGTTTTCTAATATCTTTATATATAACAAATCACTAGTTGGCCTGGCCTAAAAAAGCTTTGTTTGAAGCTCTTATAGAATGGTTTTGATCTTGACTCTTGAGGTTTTAGATATTCAAAACAAAATTCAGAGACATCAAAACAATATTCAGAGACATCAAAACAATATTCAGAGACATCACTTGCTTCAATGGTTCTGGTAATGCTTCAATTCAATCATCATCGTAAACAAGAAATACATCTAAAAAAGAACTAATCTATTTATTTAAACAGTTTTATTTCAAAAGTTTATTAAAAAAATGAATCTGCTGGTTGACCCAAAAAAAATAAAAAAAAATTCTAAATCTGCTGAGATATCAAATTTTAATAATTTTCTCTAATTTATCAAATCTATTTTACTGCATTTTTACGGAATTTTTGTGTTCCTGTGTTCAGAAAAATATTTGAATATGATCATGCTATGTATCAAGATGGTTTAGGCAGTAGGTTCTCGCGGTTTGTTTACAGCTCTTTACATGAGGCTCCGATTCTAGAGAGTCTTCGTTTGAAACTTGATCGGAAGTCTGGTGCTTTAGATATCGGATTATGGGTTAGAACTGCTGTTAAACGCAGTGTGCGTGAATTAGATATCGATATGCCTTTCATTTTTGCTCCGGTCATACTTCCATGGAGCTTGTATACCGGGGGATGTAAAACGCTTGTGACCTGGAAACTAAGCAACATGACTCTTGTGGATGCTTTTTCTTTGCCAGCTTCTTTCCCATTCCTAAAAGAATTGAGCCTTGTGCACATGAAGTACCCAAGTGAGGAATTTGTCAACGAGTTTCTGTCCAATTGTCCTGTTCTTGAGGACTTGGCTGTGGAACAATGTTCTGATGACAATGTGACCGGTCTCTCTGTTAAAATACCATCTCTCAAGAATTTATCCTTGCGCAAATCAACAGACATAGATGAAGACAAAACTTGTGGGTATGTGGTGGATGCTCCTTCTTTGGAGAGCTTTGAAGTTCTTGATCATAGCGGTGAGTTCTGTGTCATCGAGAATAATATGCCTGAGATTGTGTATGCGTATCTCGACATTAATTATTCGCATCCCTGGAAGATTTTGCGTTCTATTTCTTCAGCCAAGCAGCTTGAGTTATGTTTAGCATCCTCAAAGGTAATAAATATATCTTGTTAAGTAGACGTGCTATTGGTTATATCGGTTTACCATCTTCACTCTTGGTATTCCTTTTTGAGCCAATGTGATCAATCAAATCTTTTGGCACTACATTGCTGCAAAGAGTGAGGTTTGTTTAGATATAACCTGTTGGCATTATATTGCTTGCGTAATGTTATGCAGGAATATCCTGTTGGCACTGTCTTCCACAATCTTGTATATCTAATGCTATGCACATGTGAGCCAGAGTGGTTGAATCTACTTCTGTTTCTGCTCAGAGATTCTCCTAAATTACGATTTCTCAGATTTGAACAGGTAATATATCAAACTATTGAGCTTCTGTGATCAGGTTATATTTCCCAGTGATGATGACATAATGCCTTGTTCTTCCACATCTCAGTACCATCCCATTCGACCTTCTGAACAGCGCCTGTGGTGGAGTGAACCGAGCTCAGTTCCTGAATGTATCTTATCGAGTCTTGAGATTCTGGAGTGGGTGAAATATGAAGGAATAGAAGAAGAGAAAGAAATAGTAGCGTTTATACTTGGAAATGCAAGATTACTAAATAAGGCAACTATCTCCTCTACATCTACGGATCCTGTCAAGAAACTTGAGATGCTCAAAGAGTTGTCATTTCTGTCAAGGTGTTCAAGTACCTGTCATCTTACATTCGACTGATAGTTACTGTCATCCTTGAGGGTAAGACATGTTCAATAGTCAAGTTAAAATCTTTTTGGTTGGTGTATGATCTGAATCTTAGATATGTTATAAAGCTCTTAGTACTTTGTACTGTATGGCTTTTCATTTTTCATATTTAGATCTTTGAGGTTGTTATGTTCTCGCTCTTCTCTGCACATTAGAAGAAAGAATCATAAACTTCCATAATTTAGCTATAGCATTTCATTTTATGGTCCCTGCTCCATTTTTGTCTATTGATTAGGTAAGTAAGATTTATGGCACTGTTTGACTTGTCACTTTATTACATTCGTTTCCAATGCGCGTGGAAAACGAATTAATGATAGCTTTTCACCACTTTCTTTTCTCTACCGAGAAGTGCGAAGGCCTTTAGAATTTATTATATTTTTATCATATTTGAAGAGTCAGTCACAGTCATTGATTGATTCTCTCTGTCTATGGAATGTAAACCGATTAAATGAAATCTTGGAAGTTGCGCCACTCAAATCAATTAGGGTTCCTATTTAAAGAGGATTTTGGTGTTAGTAACAAAGAAACTGCTCCTCTTCTCCCGTTGAACAAGAACTACAGGTATGTGTTTGCCTAAGTCGTAGTTGTCTAATTATGTAAGATAGTTTCATGAATAAACCTTTCATGTGCTTCTCTTTCTGTGTGTGGATTCTTCTGTACCTCTTAGCTACGGTTTTGCTTTTTTGTTTTTTTTTAAATTCACTCGTTGCTCATGATTATTTGTTTGGTTAATGAGAATTTCACAGCCCTTGTTCATATTTTTGACGTGTTTTTCAGGTATTTTTCGATTGTGCTAATGGATCCTGAATCTGTCGCCTCGAACAAGAGTCAGCCGAGGAAGATGATTAACTCTGTGAAGCGAGAGTTGCCATTTGCTTCTTCACCTAGTGGTGAAACGGTTGAAGAAGATGAGAGAGTATTGACTAATGGAAGTGATTTGGAGTCATCAGATGCTGTGAAGAAACCTGATTGGTTCGAAAACTCGTATCTTGTTAAATCGATTGCGAGTTTCGGTGATGTCGACGAGTTTTATGTGAAACAGAGATGGAGCTTTGTGCCGGTTGAGACCAAGAAGAAGCTTGAAGAGGAGTTTAAGATGTTGCAGGACATGAAACTTGATTATGTGCTGGAGAAGACAAAGTTTTTGCAAGAGTTGGCCTCTATGATCGCTGATTTGATCGCTGAAGCAGATTAGATATACAGAGTTGATCGGGTTTATTTCGGAATTTCAATGTTAAATGCCATCTATTTTGGTTTTTTTTTATTTTGGAACTTTGGATTTACCCTTTTTCTTCTCTTTGATGAACTTTGAAATGTAATGCAAGTTGGTTTGTGTTTATCCCGAATCTTAGACATGTTTTAGAGGCGCTTAGAACTTGTGTTTTCTCTCCTAAATAAATTAGTTTTCCCCAGCAACTCATGTTGGTTAAGAATATTTAATCTTCTGACATTCGATTATGTATTAGCATGTTCTTATAAACCTTTGGTTCTGTTCTCCCTAGCTCTGCATATTCTTCCGACAATTAGAAGAATGATGTTTTCATAATTTAAGTCTCTGATAATATGTAAGATTATGAAACTCCATAGAGAATTCTCTACTAATGTCTAATGAGATAATCCTTGCATGGTACAATATGAGTATACTGTTAAATATATCTATACAAATTTGACATTATCCGGCTTAAGGAAATATTCTCTCTCTATACATATATATATTTACAGAAATCTTGAATGAAAGTTTTTTTTTTTTTAAGGGAATGTTAAAAAGTTGCACCGCTCATATCACCTAGGGTTCCTATTTAAAGAGGAATTGGTGTTAGTAAGGACTAAGGACTCTTCCCCATTGAACACCAGAATTACAGGTATTTGCCTCAGTCCTACTTGTCTGATTTTGCAAGTGTTAGTTTCTCATGAATAATCGTCCGTAGTTAACATTTTAGCGCTCAGAGTCAGAGAGTCTAAGATTTCATGTGTTTCTCATTGTGGATTGTTCTGTACTTGGTTAAGGTTTTAGTTCACCTTGCTTCGTTGCTCGTGACTAATTTTTTGGTTCCTGAGAATTTCACATCCCTTGTTCATATGTTTGACGTTTTCAGGATTTGGTGGTGTCTGGCTAAGGGAAGCTGGAAAGCTTGAGATTTGAAAGAGCAGTATGGATAGGATAAGTCAGTTACCTGATGCACTACTCTTGAAAAAACTGTCGTCACTGCCTAGTGCTAAAGATGTCGTGGCCACAATGGTTTTGTCGAAACGATGGCAGTTTCTGTGGATGTTGGTGCCAAAGCTCGTATTCGACGATAAATATCAGAATCCCGAATATGTGAGCAATTCTCACGGTTTGTAGACAGATCATTGTTTCTGCACGAGGCTCCAGTTATAGAAACTTTGCATTTCAAACTTGGTAAAACCTGTGGTAGTGGAGATATTCGAGTTTGGATTAAAGCTGCGGATAAATGCTGTGTGCGTGAGCTGATTATCGAGATTTATAGTAGTAAAACTCCAGTCACAATTCCAAGGAGCTTGTATAGCGGTGGATGTAGAATGCTTGTGACATTGGAAACTAAGTAATGCAATGCTTTTGGATGCTGCATCCTCGCCTTTTTTCCCATCCCTCAAGAATTTGAGTCTTGTATCCATCAAGTATCCAGGTGATGAATTTGTCAAGATGCTTTTTTCCAACTGTCCTGTTCTTGAAGGGTTAGTTGTGAAACGATGTCTCAGTGACAATGTGACTATTTTCACTGTTAGAGGAGGGCTTTGTCTAAAGAGTTTAGTCTTGCATAGTTTTGAAGCAGCTAAGATGAAGGTAGACTGTGGGTTTTGGATAGATGCTCAGTCTTTGGAGAGCTTGGACATTGTTGATTATTCGTGTGGGTTTTGTGGCATTGAGAATAACATGTCCAAGATTGTCAAGGCAGATGTTTGCCTTTCTTTTGCTGGTACTGAGCATCTCTTGGGTCTTATTTCTTCTGTCAAGCATCTCTATTTATGTCTACCATCCTCAAAATCAAAGGTAATATTTTGAAACAATCACTAGTCCACTGTGAAATTGTTGGTTTCTCTTGTGATCAAATTACTTTTGTTATGCGTCTCTTATGCAGAATGCATATCCTGTTGGTAATGTCTTCCACTGTCTTGTACGTTTAACGATATGCACCTGTGAGATAGAGTGGTTGAATCTACTAATGTGTGTCCTCTGAGATTCCCCTAAATTACGAGCTCTCAAACTCCAACAGGTTTACCTATATACATCTCTTCCCAAATTTACAAGTGTCCTCGATCAAATTATATACAAATGATGATGATCTCTATTTATGCACACTATGCTTCTATCTCGCTAATTTGTATCAGTGCCATCCACTTCGAGATAATGAACCGCGCCCTAGCTGGAATGAACCGAGTGCAGTCCCTGAATGTGTGTTAACGAGTCTTGAAACTCTTGAATGGGTAGAATATGAAGACACTGAAGAAGAGAGAGAGCTTGCAGCATTTCTCCTTAGAAGTGCAAACTATTTAAAGAAAGTAACCATCTCCTCTAAATCCACTGACCGCGACGAGAAATTTGAGATGATCAAGGAGTTGTCATTTTTGTCAAGGCGTTCACCCACCTGTCATCTTACGTTTGCTTAAAGTTATGGTCAAGACTTGTTCAGTAAGTCAAGTCACATCTATTTGTTGAGTGCTTGATCTGAAACCTTGTATATATAATATGTTGAAACTTGAAAGCCGTATGTTTAGCTCTTTAAAATCTCTTATGTTATTCTCCTATGCTTAGACGGAAGAAACATATAGAAGAACCATTGTCTTACTTGGTTTATCTCCTTTTTTTTATTTAACGACTTCTCTTTCAATTACAGAATATTTGGCGGTTTAACTGTACACTTGACTCTTCCACAAACTGGCCCTTATTATGCTGTGATTTGTAACTGAAATAAAACTGAATTTTGTTTAACTAGGTTGGCTTGAATCAAGTTCAGTAGCTGAATGTTTGTTATCAAGTGTTGAGACTCGAGAAAGGGTTAGATATATCAAAGGTGCAAAAAAAGATAAAGTAAGTTGCATCATTTATCTTAAGACCGGATGATGTTTGAAGAAAGTAGCTATCTCTTCAAACTTGAGATGTTCAAAGGAGTTGTCAATTTTAGTTTAGAAATTTGACAAAGAAGAAGAAAATAGAAGATGAAACGGAAACCTCTCCACGCCGTTAGGAAATAGCTTCTCTCGACCGTTGGATCTATGACTCTTAAAATTCAAAGTTAGGTTAGTATTGACAATGCAGTTAATACACAATGGTTTTATGTTCCCAATGGTCGACGTTTTAAAGAAACAGAAATCACTATACTATATGTCATAGCGGTAGGCGATAGGCGCTAGGCGGGCGGTGATACAACGCTTAGCGCCTAAAACGCCTAATCGGAACGGTTTTTATGCATTTAAAATGTTTGCAAAATAAATTAATTTATTATATATTTGATAGAATGTCATATATAAAATTACATAGTTTGTTTATAAATAATAAAGTTTACATATTATAAATTTTAAATATATATATAAAATTTAAATTACACATAAAAAAAATAAAATAAATCTTAGAATATCAAATATAAAACGCTTAGAAAGTAACGTCTAACACCTAAGCGGACGGTCTATGAACGTCTAGCGCTTAGGCGGTGCTTAGCGACCGCCTAGACCTACTTTTAGAACACTGCTATATGTTCTTAATTTGATCTACATTTAGTTTTCCATAAAAATAATTAATCACGACCATTCAGGCCAAGAAATTGAGTTTGTGTTAGAGAAGATAAATTTTGTGCGTGACGTAACCTCTATGATCATTGAAGCAGATTAGGTTTACAGATTTTACCGGGTTTATGTGGAAATTCAATGCCAATGCCACCTATTTTGTATTTTGCACTTTGGATTTACCATTTTTCTTCTCTTTGATGAACTTTGAAATGTAATGCAAATTGCTTTTTGTTTATCCTGAATCTCAGACATGTTAGAGCCGCTTAGAACTTGTGTTTTCTCTTCTAAAGAAATTAGTTTTTGGTCAATTTTTTGATTTTTTTTTTTTACATTCGATTGTGTATTCGCATGTTCTTATAAACCTTTGGTTCTGTTCTCCTTAGCTGTGCAAATTCTTCCGAAATTTAGAAGAATGATGTTTTCATAATTTAATCTTCACCAATGTAACACAATAATCATTAAACATACATTCTAAAAATTTAATGAAAGTAAAATATTACGCCATGGTTCGACGAAATGTGAAGGTTGGTCTAGCGTAGTTGTTCGGCTATCGGTTTGGTTTTATAATCAAAAACCAGAATCTACAAACAAGAAATTGGGATTAAATTTTAACTAATTTTATTAGAAAAAGGAAATTTTATAGTTGGTGTTTTATCCTTAAAAGTAAAATAGATAAGAAAAGTTATGTTCAAATTAAGGAAAAAAAACAAAAAAGAAAAAGAAAAGGAATAAAATCACAGTTTAAAAAGGAAAAACTATATATATATATAGCAAGGAATGTTTCCTTCCGGAGATATACTCCACCCTTCTGATTTAGAGGAAAGACTCTAGTTGGGGGAGAGAGTTCTGAGCCCAAAAAATCGGCTTTCATCTTCTGAAGAAAGGATTTAGGGTTTTATTTTTGGAGCAGGTTGAAAAAGACCACATTTATATCCAGAATATAAAATACAAATGTTTAGAACATACAGTATTGCAAAATATTTAGGATTCTTAAATTAGTTAATGTAAGGAAACTAAACTTTTCTAAAAAAAAAAAAACTTTTAAATTAGTTGAAAACTTTTTTTTTGGGTATAGGCCACGTATTGTGTATTATGGTTTGGATTTAGGGTTTTAGGTTTTTTTTTGTAGTTCGATATTTTTTTTTAATTACTTCTGAGTATTCCTCTTAAGCTGTTTGATCTGCGAGGACGAGTTCACAAATCATCCGCTCGATTACTTTCTCATACCAAACATCTCTGTGATGATTCTGCAGCGTGACGTGAGTTTTCAATTTCTTTTCTATTGGGTTTATCGTACTCGTTAGGGTTAGCGTCCTGTCTTTTTTTTTTTTTTGTGATTCTGCTTAATGACTCAATTTGTTTGGTCGTGTGAAATTACAGTGAGTTTTGAAAGTTGAAAACAGTCTATAATTTCAGAGACATCATCAAAACCTAGCTAGCATTGGACTTGAAAAAGAATGGATCGTGTGGATTGGATAAGTGAGTTGCCTCAAGAGCTGCTTTTGAGAATTCTGTCTTTACTGCCAGCGCAAGATGTTGTGGCCACAATGGTTTTATCAAAGCGATGGCAGTCTCTTTGGACCTTTGTGCCAAGACTCGTATACGATGATAGCTATCATCACATTTATCGTCATCCAAGATTTTCCCGCTTTGTAGACAGATGTTTGCTTTTGCACGAGGCTCCAGTTATAGAAAACTTGCATTTCAAACTTGGTCAAAAGTCTTTTGATGTGGACATTGGGGTATGGGCTAGAACTCTAGTTAAACGCTGCGTGCGTGAGCTGGTTATCGAAATTGACTGTTCATCTAGTGCATCTAAACCCATTCTTCCAAGGAGTTTGTACACAGTGAGCAGAATGCTTGTGACACTGAAACTAGAAAAAGTGATTCTTGTTGATTTTTCTTCCTCAGTTTCTTTCCCTTCTCTCAAAACTTTGAGCCTTGTATCTGTGATGTACCCTGGTGATGAATTTGTCAACAGCCTTTTATCCAATTGTCCTGTGCTTGAAGACTTGAATGTGGAACGATGCGTCAATGAAAATGTGACTATTTTCACCATTAGAGTACCTTCTCTAAAGAAATTGGTCTTGTATACAACTACAACATTAAAGGTCTTGTATACATTATTAAACAGTGATACAGATAAGGGGTTTGTGATAGATGCTCCTTCTTTGGAATACTTGGACATTTATGATCGTGTGGATGGGTTTATTGTCATTGAGAGTGGAATGCCTAATATTGTTGAGGCAGATCTTCGAGTTGATTATTGGTGTGTTGGCAAGATTCTTGGTTATATAACTTCAGTCGAGTGTGTCGATTTATGTTGGTCAAGCTTAAAGGTATTTTCTTGTCAAGTACAACATTCTGCCAACTACTATTATTTGAACAACGACTAATTATATATTTCACCATCGGTAATTTTGTGATCAAATTTGTTGCCATTGATTAACATTGCTTGTACTTATTCAGACTGGCATGCAGGATGTATATCCTGTTGGTATTGTCTTCCACCGTCTTGTAGATTTAAGTCTATGCACATTAGAGACACATTGGTTGAACCTACTTATGTGTCTGCTCAGAGATTCCCCTAATCTACGAGCTCTTCAACTTTATAAGGTGTATATATACTCGCCAACCCATTTCATTCAGTGTCTTTAACTATGTTATCTTCCAACTCATTTTGTGTCTTCTGTACCGTTTATCTCAGCTCGGCCATTATCCTGATCGACCAAGCCCCAGCTGGAAGAAGCCGAGTTCAGTCCCGGAATGTTTGTTATCGAGTTTGGAAACTATCGAATGGGAAGACTATCAAGGAACAGAAGAAGAGAAAGAACTGATGGGATTTATCTTAAGAAGCGGAAGCTGTTTGAAGAAGGTGACTATCTCCTCTATACCCACTGACTCCGACAAGAAACTTGAGATGATCAAGGAATTGACATTGTCGATCAGGCTTTCACCTACTTGTCAGATTGAATTCTCCTGATGAAGCTACAGTAACATCGTGTTGTTTCGGCTTAGATAATTATATCTTTTTCTTTAAAACTTTTAACTCTTTGAGTTTCTTGTTCTCTTTATCGAAGTCGTCTCTGCCTAATAGGGGAAATAAAGAAACATAATAACTATCTATCATTATCATCTTTAATCTTATGTATGGTCTTTTGCCCCATTTCGTCCACAAACTTGGCTTGTTTATAGATGGTTTTAACTTTAGAAACCCACTACCTTTTGCTCTGAAATGTTCTCTATACTTTGCTGAGATAAATATAAGGTTGAATTGGGTTTGAAACTTGGAATACTAAATTTATTAATTTTTATCAAGATTAAAACACTAAAATCATTATCACAAACATTAAAAGGATAATTATTTCAGTTTTGAGTATAAGTCAAGGAATTTCTTAAATTAATTAAAAAAATTATTTAAAAAAAAAAACGAGAGGGAAGGCACTAGAGTCCACATTAGCCCTGGGCTTTCGGATATTCGGTTCGGTTCCGGGTAAGAACCGAACGGTTCCGGATATTTCGGTTCTTAAGTTTTAGATCCATATAGGTACCGAATTGTTTTTGGTTCGGTTCCGGTTCGGTACCTCTCGGTTCTGGATCGGTTCGGGTATGAAGGATGAGAACCGTAAAATATCCAAAAGATTTCGGTTCTTAAATACCCGAAAAAATTTTGTTAACAAAAATAACCAAATAACAAAGAAGAAGCTGAAACTGCAAAAACAAAACAAAAAGACTTAAAAAAATTATTAGAATCATTAACAAAGAAGAAGTTAGCACTCATAATCTCAGATATTAGACTCACAGTTAACATCATATGGATTTCATATATAAATAGTAAACCCTAAATCTATTTCTAAGTGAAGAGACTTTAGAAACTCGATTATTCAAGAGTAATTCGTTGTAAAAACGAAAAAACAAAGAGGAAATGAGATCAATTTAAAATTTAAACAAACAGAAACAGTTAGCCCCAAAATCGATTTTAGCTATAAACAGTAAACCCCAAACCCAAATAAATTCAAAGATGAGAAAGAGATGGAAAAAAGCATACCCCGACTAATTTTTTAACGTAGCAGATGGCTGTGTCGGCGAAGAAATGCTACAGTGACTGAAAATTAGGGATTTCAGTTTTTCTGAATGATTTAGAGTTAATTTTTTAAGTATTAACGAGAGAAAAAAGAGAAACTGTTTTTTTTTACAACGATAAGTTGCATGTGTAGGTGTATAGTTTTGTGTATGTCTTTTTTTACCCTTTGAATATGTGTCGAATTGTGGATAATGGGCTAGATCAATTTTGTAAAAATGACTTTGAATTACTAATGGGCCAATATTAGATTTGTAGTAAACTAATTTTTTTATATTAATGAGTAATGGCCCAAACTTATACATAATTTTCGGGTATTCGGTTCGGTATTTTTGGTTCTGGGTAATAACCGAATCCGAACCGATATCCATGGATCTTAAATATGAGATCCAATGGGTATTTAGGCAATAACCGAAACCGAACCGAACCGAAAATTTCGGGTCGGTTCCGGTTCGGTATTTCGGTTCCGGTTCTTATGCCCAGGGTGAGTCCACACCAGATTAGTGTCATATAAAAGAAACGCTGACCCTCATAATTTAAATTAGGGTTTCTCTACTGTTGAACGAGAGAAGTTCTGGAGGTTTTAAGGTTTTTAGCGAATTCTGTCAATCTTCTTATGATTTGTCTTAATAATGTGTCTGAATCACTACCTCATAAAAAATCCGTTCGATTACTTTTCTCATACTAAACATCTACTGTGGTGCCGTAGTTAGGGTTTCCGTACTTGTTAGGGTTTGTTTTTTTTTTTTTTTTTTTTTGATAACTCAGGTGTCCTGGCACCCACCGAAGTGGGTCCAGACTAGCCACGTAGACGGCCAAATGGCTCTCCACGTGTCAGCTCCTGGGACGCTGCAGCCCATATGTGAATTCTGCAGTGGTCGGGGCTCGAACTCGTGATGGCGGGTACTTCAGCCGAGGGTCATTTACCACCAGAGTTAGAGGCTCCAGTTTTGTTAGGGTTTGTTTGCATCCTGGTGACGTGTTATATGTGATTCTCAGCTGCTTAATGACTCTGTTTGCGTGGTTCCTGTGTTAGGAAACAAAACACATCTTTAGATTTGAAAGGAATGGCTCAGATTGATTGGTTAAGTGAGTTGCCGGAGTTGCTGCTCTTGAGAATATTATCTTTACTGCCTGCGATAGATGTTGTGGCCACAATGGTTTTGTCCAAGCGGTGGGAGTTTCTTTGGATGTTTGTGCCAAGACTCGTATACGATGATAGCTATCACTATCTGGATATTAACCATGGAAGTTTTTCGCGGTTTGTAGACAGATCCTTGCTTTTGCACGAAGCTCCAATCCTAGAACTTCTGCATTTCAAGCTTGGTCAAAAGTCTGGTAACGTGGACATTGGAGTATGGGCTAGAGCTGTAGCTAAGCGCCATGTCCGTGAGCTAATTATCGAGATTGACAGTTCTTCTTGTAAAGCTCCAGCCATCCTTCCATGGAGTATGTACATGAGTTTGTCCAATGCTCGTGACATTGAAACTAAATAACGCGGTTCTTGTTGAATTTAACTTTCCCTCGATTTATTTCCCATCCCTCAAAACTTTGAGCCGTTCGTGTGGTATCCAAATGATGAATTTGTCCACAGTTTCTTATCCCGTTGTCATGTTCTTGAAGATCTGGAAGTGGAACAATGTGAAAATGACAACGTGACTGTTTTCACCGTTAGAGTGCCTTCTCTAAAGAGACTAGTCTTGCGTAAATCAGAAGAAGAGAGAGATAGAAAAGATGGTGAAGATGGGTTTGTGATAGATGCTCCTTCTTTGGAATACTTGGACATTCTTGATTCTTCGGGTGCTTATTGCATCATTTTGAATAATATGCCTGTCATTGTTGTGGCATGTTTTGACGTCATTTACAAGCATCCTGTGACGATTCTTGGTTGTATTACCTCAGTCGAGCGTCTCGATCTATGTTTATCAACCTCAAAGGTTACCGTCCATGCATTCTTGATATATTTTCTTTCTAGAAATCAGTTATTAAAACGGCAATGGATACATCATGAATATATAGTTGCTCTCTCTTGTGACTAACTCCTAATCTTTGTATGCAGGATGTGTATCCTTTTGGCACTGTCTTCCACTCTCTTGTAGAATTAACAATATGCACATGTGAGACAGAGTGGTTGAATCTACTTATGTGTCTGCTAAGAGTTTCTCCTAATCTACAATCTCTCAAACTCGAACAGGTTCATGTTTCAAATTGTTCAGTTTTTTACATGATATATGAATATGACGATAGATCTCTAATGCATTTGTATCTCTGTCCCGTCAAATTTATCTCAGTGCCATGATATTGAAGATGAGCGCCCGTGCTGGAACGAACCAAGCTCAGTTCCTGAATGTCTGCTATCGAGTCTCGAAAGTCTTGAATGGGTACTATATGAAGGAACCGAAGAAGAGATAGAGGTGGTTGCATTCATCTTAACAAGCGCAAAGTGTTTAGGGAATGTAACTATTTACCCTGAATCCACTAAAACGGACAAGGAGAAACTTGAGATGATCAAGGACTTGTCATTTCTGTCAAGGTGTTCAAGTTCCTGTCATCTTATATTTGATTGAAGTTGGTGGTGATGAGTTACTTATAATTAATCTTTAGATATATATATTGAAAGCTTATGTTTAGTATCTCTTTGGAATTCTTATTATTCCTGCATGAATATTCGTCTTTTTCTGCCTTTAGTTTAAGATTTATGATGAGGCCCGCATCGTTGTGCTCCAGGTAGGGAAGGGTTGTGTGAGGTGTTACACCACTTCACCCAGATTCGATTCTCCCTGGAAACAAAAACACAATTATGTGGGAAGTTTGGATTTGGGCCAAAGGCCCAAACAGTTTACCTGGTAGTCCAGTAACAGGCGATTTGGCTATCTCCTGGCATTAGTCGGAAGGCATTTCAAACTCGGGACAGGTAGTGTGATGGTCCATTTGGATCTTATGGATCTCATGGCCCGATGATTCGAGTTCGCTCGAAGCTCATGGTGTCCGTTAAACCGTTGAACCAGGGAGAAGTCTACATTATAGCACTTCGGTGTATTCCTACCGGGACCGACCGGATCAGCTGATAAAGTTTATAAAAAAAAAAAAAATGATGAGGTTTTCTTCTACTTGTAGTATGTTGGTGTTCGGTTTGTTGAAATTGTTGTTACTGAATTAAACCGATAGTTAGTTAATGTGGTTGTTTTTAAAACTACCGGTTTAACCCAGTTCTGTTTAGTTTTTACCTAAACGTATAAAGAAATAACTTGAGTATAATATTATAAGGACTATCTCGTAAATTAAATTAAATGCATAAATTTTGATTTTTAGTTGAAATGATGTCACTTTTTTCAATTCGATATGAGTTATATAAGAAACAACAAAAAATGCGAAAACAAAAAAATCTTGCCATTCCACCATTCCACTTATTTTTCAGAATTTCACTGGACATTTTTTAAAGTAGAGTTTCAAACAAATTTAGTTGTATTTCTTATTGTTTCTTATGTTAAAGTTTGATCGGAAATCGAGATCCAATCGTATTTTTTTAAAGTGAAAACACAGTTTATTTTTATGTATATTTTTTCATTTCACAGATTTTGTTGATTGATAAAATAAATTGCGAAATCATGTTTAAAAATGCACATGCACAATTCCCCTGATTACCAATCAGAACCAAGAAATTGAGAATATGAAGTGGCGTATTTTAGTTGGATTTCGTAAAAAAAATATTTTATTTTATCTATTATATTAAAACATAAGCACATTTAGTACTTGCTTCCAAACACTCCTAATTTTTTTTCAAGTGTTTAAAAATAATTTTAATAATTATTTATATTTAATTTCGAAAATTAGTTATTAATTTAAATATTTTTAGAGTTCCTTAAATATAGGTAATTTAGATTTGATTTGATTTGATTAAAAATAATAAATCAGATATTAATTTAGATTGATTTAAAGATTCTAATTTAAATAATTTTTATACCATTAAACATTTTTATCAAAAATATCTAGAATTTTTGAAAAATAAATTCACATATGAAAAATAATGGTCATATTTGAAATATAAAATATTTATGATGTAAATAATATGATATTTATGTTGTTTATATAATATATTTACGATTATGATTTATTTACAAATTAATAATAAAATAATAAGTAAAATTCAAATGTATAATTTAAATATTAAAAATATATTTTTTAAAATTCATAGAACTAAAAATATATATAAAAAACCGAGTTAAAAATATTTTGATAACTAATATCACTAATTTTGAATTATACATGTATATCGAAAATATATTTTTTATACAAAATCAAAACATAAAAAAATTAAAAATTATTGCATACACTATAATGTGGTTTGAAAAACCAGTTGTACACTCATTCGTTGATTAAATTTTAAAAAACTATAATGCTAAATAATACTGTTAATACATCTTAAACTTTTAACAAATATTTATATTATACGGTAATATGAACGGAAAAATTAGAATTATGTTTTTGTAATAGTTCATTTTGAATTAATATTAGCAGATGGGTTAAAATTATTTTTTTATAATCATAATTAATTTTAATACTATAAAAATATATCTAAACACAAAAATCAATATTTTCGCTTATGAAAAAATATATTTATAAAAATAATTATATCTAAACTCAAAAATACAAATTACATTACAAAATTTATTAAACAATAAAAAATATTCATGTGCGGATGCACGGATTTAGAATCTAGTTTTGTTTTTAAATTAGCGGGAACGCTTCTTAGTCCATTGTAATCGGTACCATTCTGGGTCTAGGGTTCGTCTCTGGTGAGCAATCCGTGACCGAAATTGAGTATCGGATTCTTCGCTTTTGATGAAGGAGAAATAACCAAACTTTTAGGTAATTTGACCTTCCCTGCGCTTTTCTTCGATTTTGTTTGGATATGTAAGTATTAGGGGTTCATCAATCAAGACTTAATAGGGATTGACTCAATACTAGCTAGATATTAGCAATCGTGTGATTGAACAGCAATAATTCTGATATTCGTTAGATTAGGAAAGTAGATACACTCCGTTTTTACTATATATTTGTACGGAAGTTTCGATGACAGTCACATAGAACATTTCCAACCTTTCGCATCGATTTCTATGGTGGTGAGTTTCTGTTTTCGCTAGGTTTTTGCTTGGTTTTCGTGTAGCTTGTTGATTCTGTGTCGCTTGTGTTATTGGGTTGGTTCTAGATGAGACTGTGGAGGAATAAACGGATCAATTCTAGATGTATTTGTTTGTTTTCTCTGTTTATTTAGGGTCGAGAAATGATAGCTAAGCCTGATTTCTTATAATTCCGTGTCTGTTTTTCGGTTTTTCTGGTATTGATAGAGAAGGTTGTGGAAGTTGATAGCTTGAGATTTTAAGGATTCAGGGTATTTTCTTACTATGGAGATTCTCTTTTTAATCATTTCGTCTTACTTTTTGAATTGAGAGCAAAACCTCGAACTTTCTTATGTCTTGATCAGGTCTGTGGAAGCTGAGAAACTTTGGTTTATAATGGAGTCGAATCGTAAGGATATGATAAGTGAGTTGCCTGATGCGCTGCTTTTGAAGATACTGTCGTTAATGCCTACTGAAAAAGCTGTGGCCACAATGGTTTTGTCTAAACGATGGCAGTTCTTTGGACGATGGTGCCAAAACTTGAATATGATCATAATATGTATCAAGATGGTGAAGACGGGAGGTTCTTGCGGTTTGTTTACAGTTCTTTGCTGTTGCACGAGGCTCCGGTTCTTGAAAAGTTTTCTTTAAAACTTGGTCAAAAGTCTGGTGCTATAGATATTGGAGCATGTGTTAAACCTGCTATTAACCGCTGTGTGCGTCAGCTGAATATCGAGATTGATACTTATACTGAGACTCCTGGCATACTTCCAAGAAGCTTGTACACAGGCTGTAGAATGCTTGTGACTTTGACACTACAAAATGCGGTTTTTTTGGATGTGTCTTCGTCGGTTTCTTTCCCTTCCCTCAAAACTCTGACGCTTCTATCAATGAAGTACCCAGGTGATGAGTTTTTCTGCAAGCTTTTGTCCGGTTGTCCTGTTCTTGAAGACTTGTTTGTGAGACAGTGCCAAGGTGACAATTTGGCCGTTTTGGTATTTAGAGTGCCTTCTTTAAAGGTTTTAGGCGTGCGTAAACCATCATCAGAAGTGTACCATCAGGGGTTAATGATCGATGCTCCTTCTTTGGAGTTCTTGGACATTGTTGATTATACAAATGGGTTTTGTGTCATTGAGAATAGTATGCCTAAGATTGCAGAGGCCCATCTTGATATGACCTGTAGTCATACTCAGCAGCTTCTTGGTTCCCTTACTTCAGTGGTGCAGCTTTCATTATGTTTGACAACTTCAATGGTAATTGCTCTCTGAAAACTTTTTTTGTCAACGGTTTTATCCCTTCTTTACATCGGATCTGTCATAGTTTACATCAATCCTGTATATCTTATATAGGATGCAGATTTCGATGGAACAATATTTAGCCAGCTTGAACAGTTGAAACTATGTACTTGCGACGCTGTGTGGATGGATCTACTTATGCGTTTACTCAAAGCTTCCCCTAAACTAAGGTTTATTGTGCTTGAACAGGTACATTTACATCAAAATCCAAAATGCTGAAAAGAGAATTCATTCTTTGACTCATTTAATCTTTTTTTTTTTGTTTTTTTGTTTCTTTGATGTTCTAACTCGACTATACTTCTCTCCCCTATTCATTCAAAGCGCCATTGCACTGAAACTGAAGATTCGCTCCCGTGCTGGAACGAACCGAGTCATGTTCCTGAATGTCTATTGTCTAGTCTTGAATATTTTGACTGGAGGCAATACGGAGGAAGAAAAGAAGAGAAAGAAGTCGCAACATTCATCTTAAGAAACTCTGCTCGTTTAGGATGGGCAACTTTCTACCCCAAATCAACAGATCCTACAGAGAATCTTCAGATGCTCATGGAGTTGTCAATGTCACCAAGGAGTTCTTCAATCTGCAAGCTTCAATTCCATGGGAATTACAATCCCGTGTGAGAGTGAAAAGACTAAGTTCTCAACGTTCAATCTCGGTTTGATCCCAGGTTTAGTGTTGTAATCACGGTTTTGGATATCTAATTTCAGAATAAAAGTCACTTTTTAGATTTTGAGAGTGTTATGAGGAAGTATTGTTGGTCACATTTGATCCTGATGCTGAAACCTAAAAAGTGTTTGAAGTAATTCATTGGTACAATGCAGCAAGTACAGGAGATGATCCTGATACTACATGTAATTTTTTTAATTATAATTGTAGAAACAATATTTATTAATATCTACACGAGAAAATGGAAAAAAAAAAACCAAACAAACAAATACAAGCTCAGTTTCTTGTTATTAAGACGATCGCCGTCCACAATAGGGCTCAAAATAAGAGTCTGAGACTGAGACTAAGGAACAGAATAGTAAGTAATTTCCTTGCCTTGTAGTTGTAATCTCTTGTTATTCTTCGATTTTGAAACGAATCACTTGGGAAAAATCCTATCTTTGTTCCTAATTTGCTGCAATAGTTTGGAGTTCTATCATCTTCGAATCTCTCTAATGGGTATTGTCTGGTTCCTTTTCATGTGTAGGTTCATGCCCATTTACTTGATTTCCGGAGAAGATCTAGCGAAATCGGTGAGAATTCCTTCAAAATCTATTTGATTTTGGCTGCTAGTTTCAATCGCAAAGTGTGAAAGTAAAGACCTTTTTTTTGTCTTTGTGTCTTCAGCCTTGTTCGTCTCTAGTTTCCGGACTCTAATGGATAGAATCAGTCACTTACCTGACGAAACCATATTGAAGATATTGTCGTTTCTTCGGACGAAAGATGTTATGCAAACTATGCTTTTGTCTAAACGCTGGAAACCTCTCTGGACGATGGTACCAAGACTTGAGTTTGATGAAAGCACTCACTTCCCTGATCCTATGTATTTGCATTGGGGAGCTCCAGACCCTGATTATGGAATATTTTGGCGGTTTGTGGACAGATCGTTGATGTCACGCGAAGGTCAAGTTCTACAAAGTATGCATCTCAGATTAAATCGAAATTTCACACATGGAGATATTGAGATTTGTGTTGGAACCGCGGTGAAACGTGGTCTAATTGAGCTGAAACTCGAATACGGTTCGAGTTATTACGGGCGTAATTTTCTTCCAAAAAGTTTATACACTTGTGCAACACTTGTGGTCCTGAAACTCGAAAACTGTATATTGGATGTTCCCGATCTCGTTTGTCTAAGGTCTTTGAAAACACTCTCTCTCAAATCTATGGATTACTCTAAGGCGGCCAATGCTCTCGTTAGACTTTTACATGATTGTCCTGTTCTTGAAGACTTGTTCCTGCATCAAACACTCTATCCTACCGATGAGTCGGGTTTCAAGATTGTAGTGCCTTCTTTGAAGAGATTATCCTTGGTTTCCAAATCTCAAGCTTATGGAATCACTGGACTTGTGATAGATGCTCCTTCTTTGAAATACATGCACATTGTAGATCGTTCAGGTAGCCTTTCATTTAGCGAAAGTATTAACACCAATGAGGTGGTTAAGGCCAATATTGATGTTATTCTCAAGTGTCCCGAGAAGCTTCTGCATTCTCTTGCTTCAGCAGCGCATATCCGCTTATGTTTATCAGCTTCAGAGGTGATTTTGTCGGTCTCTTAGTTATTCTTCTCTTTCAGCCTTAAATCTCGGTCTTAGGAGCATTACATTGCTAGTCCCATCCTATTTATGCAGGTTGTGTATCCAGATGGTAGTTGCTTCCATAGACTAAAACATTTGGAGGTATGTACATGCAAATCAGAGTGGCTGGATCTATTTATGCATCTGCTCCAAGATTCGCCAAGCTTAAAGGTTATCAAGATTAACCAGGTCTGTTTTGTTCTTTAATCTCCTTGATCTATATCTGGTTTTCTCGTTCAGTGATCTAATATTGTGTTATACATTGCAACTGTATTGATTCTCAGTGTCATCCTGCTACGAATCCCCGGCCTCAGTGGAATCAACCGGTCTCTGTTCCAAGATGTTTGTCCTCAAACCTTGAAACTTTTGAGTGGATAAAGTACGAAGGAACACAAGACGAGAAAGAGCTTTCGACATATATCTTGAAAACTGCAGCTTGTTTAAAGAAGGCGAGTTTCACCGCTAAATCCAATGATCTCAAGGAGAAACTGCAGATGCTTCAGGAGTTGGCTTTGTCACGAAGGGTTTTAACCACTTGTGAGCTCGTGTTCAACTGAAAGCGCATGCTGATCACTCTTACACCAAATCTGTTCAGATTCTTTCTCAACAAGTCGTGTTCTCGTCTTCTTTTGACTAAATTTATCTGCACTAATTTATGTTATTCTAGTCTTTATAAGTCACAGCTAGTGTGTGCAAGACTGCTGCAACTTCTTTTTTCTTCTCCCTTTCTCTTTTGGAGTTTTGTGCAGAGTTCATGGGTCGTTACTTTATGGACATTGCCGTCTACTGAGTCACAGAAAGGTTTGCATGTTATTGTGTTAACTTAAACTTAACAACTTAAGTAAGTCGCAAAATCCTGTTTTGTCTGAAAATTTAAACTGTCATTATAAAAAAAGTAAGCACCATTGGTTTGTTGGATACTTTTCTTTTACTTTTTTAAAAAAGTATGATGATACCTTCTAGGGGGTGAGAAAGAAAAACCAAACTGAACCAACTGAACCAACCAAACTTAAACCAACCCAAATCAAACCATATTCTATACATCAACTAATCGGTTGAAGTTTTTTTCACCCCGTATGATTTGGTTCAGTTCGACCTATAAATCAATATGTTTTTTTAAGTTACTTAACTAATCATACTAAAAAGTATAAACATACATAATAATATCTTCAAGATTCATCTAAAACTCTTAAACCCACGTTATCCTTCTTTTTTTAACTTCAATTTTTTAAAAATTTCTAAACATGATTAATATATATCCTCTAACCTTAAACCATAGATTTTTTTCATTTTTTTTTTTAGTTTGATTAAGTGGATATATGTATCACTTTGATTTTAAACTTTTCAAGAAATTTTTTGTTTACGGTTTATTTTATTACGTTTTGTTAGGATTCTTTTATTTTTTTGTAGTTTCGTGTTCGTTAGAATTTTTATTTTTATATAAATTAATTTTTTTTTGAAAAACAAACTAAAATCAAACCAAACTAAACTAAACCGAATTAAACTCAAACCAAACACAAACCGAACCAAAATGGTTGAGTTCGGTTAGAGTTTTATTCAACCTGAATCAACCGAACCAAACCAAGCTTGAACCAAAACGAAATTCAACCGAAATGCCCACCCAGTTGTATTAGGGAATTATACTCTCGAAAATATACTAAAACATGTGTTAGATACGAGGTTACATAAAGGAGAAATGTATAAATACTATATTTTCCACAATTACAATATACATATTTGGATCATTAATATTTAA